GCCTTGCGCTCTGAGCCGATGGCGCCGTTGGCAACAGCGCGGAGGCTGCCGATGCTGGGCCTGCCCGAGAGGCTGCCACTTCCTCCGCTGCGAACACTGTCGGAGTCGTTGTCGGACGAAGGGAAGTGGTCGCTGTCCGGCGAGGCGCTTCCGCTGCCGGTACGGTGAGCGCGGCGGCCGATGCCAGCTCGCACAAGGTTGCCCACGGCCTGGCGGCGTTGACGAGTGGCAAAGTTCTTGCTACCCTCATGCTTGGTGGTGGGACGCTCCTTGAGCTCCTCGATGGAAGGAGGGTTGCGAGGCTGACGAACTGGGTGTTCTCCAGCGCGTGCTTGACCAGGGCCGAATGTGCCAGTCATCGGGGTGGCAGGGAAGCCGACCGGGCGGGTAAAGGCAGAGCGAGGGCCCTCCTCGGTCTTGCCATCAACAGCAAGGGAAGACAGGTTCTTCTTGTGGCCGCGACGGAAAGCGTTGGCAGATGGCGGCGGGAGCGGGACTACATCCTGAGGTGGGGTGTTCGACTTCTTCGGCGGCGAAGTGCTGCGCGAACCCCAAGGGCTGGGATTGCTCTCGTTGGGAGGAGAGACGTGGAGCACTGGGGTGTCGACCTTGGGCGGCGAAGTAGCGAAGCGGGGAGTAGGCGGCGGCGGCGAGTGCGACAGACCAGACATACCATTCTGAGTCTGCATGTCGCCGTTGTCCTGCTGGTAGCTCGGGTCAACAACGTACTGGTACTGGCCAGTCATCTGGTTGAAGACAAGGTAGACACCAGGCTGATTGGTCTCCTGGATGGCAGCGGTGTTTCCAAACTGCTGGCCATAGGCGTTCATCTGAGGAGTGTATGGCGTGTTGGGGTACTGCTGTCCACCGCTCATGTTCATGTTGCCGAACTGCTGGGTCGTCAGAGCAAGGAGTTGCTGCTGGAGCTGCTGCTGCCTCTGGGCAAGGTAGAGCTCGGTAGCCAGGAGCTGAGCCGCAACATTGGGGTCCATCTCGCCGTCATCGAACTCGAATTGGGGAGGGGCCAGGACCTGGTTGTAGAAGTCAGGCTGCTGCTGTTGTTGCTGGTACTGATTGACACCGCTGAAGCCAGAGCCGATGGCAGTCTGAGGACCACCCTGGTTGGTTCGGTTGAACTGCCTGGAGTTGTTGGCGTTGTTGGCACCAATATTGTGCTGGCGCTGCGAGTAGGGAGCCGAAGCAGGGGGCTGCGCAGACGTGGGAGTCTTGGGCGCAGTGCGGAGGCCGGCCAGGAGGTGGGAGCGGCTGGTGCGAGGAGTCGCAACCGAGTCCTCGGCGATGGAGGCAACCTTGGGCGGCGAGGCGACGCTGAGACGCTTAAGCTGAGCGCCCTTGCCGCGAGAGGCAAAGCTCGAGGTGGGACCGCCAAAGCCACCCTGGGATTGGAAGTTGTTGTAGGTCATCTGAGCAAGACCGCCAGCGTCCATGCTCATTGTGGTGGTCTAAGAAGAGTTGCGAACAAAGAGTAAGGTGCAACAAGGAGTATGCTAGGCGCACACGGGGAAAGATACAGAATCGAAGAAGGCCGGAAGAGGGAGTGTTGGCAAGACGGAAACCGAGCGTGCACCGACGAGACGTTTGCTGTGAGGCAGGGTGCGATTTGGCTGGCGATTATGGGATTAAGGATCGTACAGATCGGGATTGTAAGGTAGAGTTGATATCGAAAACCGGCCGATGGGCAATGTAGTTGGAGCTATTAACAAGTTCTTCGGGCGCCGTGTCGTTTGATGTGCTGTCAGAAGGATCGAGTGGTGACGGCAGCAGGCGCGGTCTGGCAGCGGCGAAGATATTTATGAAGGGGAATAGACGAACATGCAGCGACGGGATCACGGGCAGACAAGCTGGTGGTTGATGCGTCGGCTGGCGAGCTCTTCTTCTCTCGGGGGAGCGACGGGACTGGCGCGCTCGCACAATCTCAGATTAGGCGGGGGGTAAGTTGGTCCAACTGGGGGAGCAGGTAGAAGATGCAGAAGCGGCACTGTGCAGTCGAAGAGAGCGAAGGGAGAGAGGTAGAGAGGAAAGGGCGAGATGGAGGGGCCAGGAGAGAAAAGTGACGAGCAGCGGAGGAGCAGCGAGCCATGGACGAATGCGAGCGCTATAAGTGACGGGGGACCTGTGGCAGCGACAGCGACCCTGCATCGAGCCTAGCGCTGGCAGGCCCCCTGGCCGCGCTGGACGCACGCTTGAAACGCTGGGCCTGATGCGTAATGACTGCGCTTGGGCCGTTCCTGCGTGCGAAGGCCCTCGTGTGCGAGCTGGAGCACCTCGCTTTGATGCCGTGACGGTGCATTGCGCGAGGTTGAGTGCTGCTACTGTACACAAAGCGTTCGCTGCGCTCGCGGGTTTCAGGCGCTGGGCGTCATTTGCGGGATGCTCGCTCCTGCCGCACCGGGCGAGGGCCCTGAGCGCTCCTGCCCGACGCCACGACCGTACCTTCCTCGCGGCGCACCCAGCAAGGGCAAGAGCGACTGGCAAACAGAACCACCGAAACAGCGTCTTCTCATTGCTCGAGCCCCAAGCCCACGAGCACACCGCAAGACGTGATCCACTGCATCGATAGCGTCTATCTACGCCATCTCGGCCAGTCGTTCGTAGCGTCCCAGTAGTTACCAACGGCGGCTATGCGCCTGCGCGCTGCTACTGGCCAGTCCCATCGCGGCCACCGCAGCCCTTCAGCCACGCACACTCGCTCTAAATATACCCACCACCACCTGTTCACCAGCTCCAGCGACTCCTCTGCAAAGGCATTGGTGTGCACTCGTCTCTGCTCCGCAACGATGAACAGCGTGGCATGCGCATGAATGGACCCAAGCCCGGCACACTCCATCTCAAATCATTCACCTGTCTGTCAGCAGTCAGCTTCCAAATGTCCGCATCTCCCACGCGCAATCTGCAATGCATGTCGTGCGGGAGGAGCATGCTTGTTGGCGTGTGCCGACCCCGGACCTGGCTGCTGTCACGCTCCCACTGCAGATCCAGCGAGATGCTCGGTGCCTTGGGGCGGCCTCGCAATCGAGTCCCTTTTTTCCACCTTTTTTACACGCGTCGGCTTCCGCGGTCTTTCAATCGACTCGTGCCACTGCGCGTGCAGCCCCTTCTTCGCTGTCGCCTGCCGTTTCGTCCCGGGTCTACCCTGCTGTCTCGCTCTGAAACTGTCGCTCCGTCTCAACCACCGCAGCCCGTGCGTCGCTCCCTCATCTCGCTAGACTCTCCCTGCAGCAACGCCTGCCAAGCCAGACTTGAAAGCGTGAAACATGCTCTCGTTATCGTCACCTAGCGTTTGGGCCCCCGAAGCTGTGGGATGCGGAAGGCGCGCTGTCAGGGCGATGCTTGAACGCTGATCTCCATTCGCGTGTGGGGACGACGCCCCTTCGTATGGAGAAGTCTGAAGACAACTCACAGCTATGTATCATCGTCCAAGCAAACTCACCAGTCGCGCCGCTACCGCCTGCTGTACATCGTTAGACTCGCTTGCCCTTCGCGAGACTATCGAATCTAGCACCGAGGCCATTCGGAGTGAACCCGGCTACCGGTATCGTATTGGCAGCCGTTCGGTCAGAGCCGCCGTCTTTAGCGGGCAGTATGACTGCTTACGTCCGAACCGGCCGATTGCCCTTCGAAAAGAACCTCATCAGAACGCTTTCGTTCTGGACCGGAAGCCAGCGGCAACGATTAGTGGGGCGCATGAGCCCGTTCGGGAGCGCAGAAAAAAGGCAGGAGTGAGGCGCAGGACTAGACACGACAAGGCAACACGAGTTTTATATGCCTCGAGGTTGGAAGGCTTGACATGTCCAACAGAACGGTGCATCGCAAAGTCAGCATCGTCACACGTCTTGTCCAGACGAGTTCCCTCACCAGACACACAGCTCCTGCACCATCAGCGCTTCAGCACGCGCTTGCGCAGCTCTGTTTCACGAACACGATCGTCGAGGCCGTTGGAAATAGTGTGCCTCTGGCGCCGCAAGGCTGCATGTTTCGAAATTTCCAAAGCTTCTCGCCCACACATCGCGTAGACCTCCAATCTTTGCCTTGGCTCACCAGTGCGATGTCATCCTCCCACTGGATCGATGCTATTAGACATCGTCCATGGTGTACATACTACTCTGGGCCCTCCATTTCCTTCTCAGCACCACGGGGTGAGAGACAAAGCAGCTGAGAAAGTCAGCTCTATCACCTTGTCCGCGCTCAGCGTAGTCACGCAGTCGTAGACTGATGGGGCATTCCAAAAGGTCTGGCCTCTTCCATGTGAGGGTAAGGAGTGCGCATCAATATGAAAGAGTTGACATGCCGTCAGCGCAATGCAGAGTAAGTTCTTCAGTTCATCTATCGCTGACGGATAATTTGGAAAACTGACGCTGTTTGACTGGTGATGTTCCCGTACTATTTGGAACATGTTAAACAAGAGGAACGACGCTGTTGCTTGAATTCGCACAGCCAATCGTCCAGTCGCATCTAGGAATCATCCTGTCACTTCTACCAGCCGTCCAGTCGCATCTAAGAGGTCTTTGCGAGACCCACTAGTAGTGTTTTCGCATGTTTGACACTTGGCATGAGACTCGGCACGAAACATCTGACACCACATGTTCATATAGCTCTTTTTAACCAGACTTTTCTCAAGCGTCGCGAACATCAGGCAAACTGTTTCGATCAGCGCCGTCGCCCGTTTTCCGATGTCTGCGGCAGCGTTAGTAACGGAGCGATGGAGGCTCTTAGGCACGCAAAAGAGGAGTATATAGTCACCCTCGACGCTGCGCATCTTCCAATAACCAGATCTGCAGCGCATTTCCCATCTTCTACTACCTTTCTACTACCATCGATATCCTCTACAGCATCCTTCTTAATATCCACTAATACTCTTAATTGTCATCCTGACATTTCGACTTAATCCAAATCATCTCAGCTTAATACAAATCATCATGCTTTTCTCGAACATCGCAATTGCGGCTTTGGCCCAGAGCTTGACTGCCTCCGCTGCCACCATGATGGTCACGGTCGCTGCCAACAACAAGTTCCAGTTTACGCCTAACTCTATTGTTGCCCAACCCGGTGACATGGTCGCTTTCAACTTTGTCAGCCAGGTACACAACTGCTTCCATCACTTCACCACTACTCCAACAGATACTGACTCTATCCTCACAGAACCACAGTGTCGCCTCCTCCGACGCAAACAGCCCCTGCCAGCCCCAAGCGAACGCCATCTTCTCCGACTTCCAGCCCATCCCCGGCAACCCCAACGGCTCCCCAGGTGCAGGTGGCGCTGGTGGTGCTGGCAATGCCGCTGGAGCTGCTGCTGCCGCTAACGGTAACGGTAAAGGCAACGGTCGCAACCGCAACAACAACCGCCAAGCTGGAAACACACCCATGTTCATGGTCCCCGTCGTCGACAACCAGCCCATGTACATCTACTGCTCGCAAGCCCAACATTGCCAACAGGGCATGGTCATGGTCATCAACCCGCCCAACGCTCAGGCCGTAACTCAGTACCAGAACCTCGCTGCTCAGGCAAACAACAACGTTTCTCCCCAGGGTGGCATCAGCGGTGGACAGGTCGTTAACAACCTCGCTGGAACTACTCCCAAGAGCGTACTCGGTGGTACGGCTGGTGATGCGGCAACGGCAGCGAAGGCGGCTACGAACGGCAATGGCAAGGGCAAGGGTGGCGGTGCTGCTGGTGGTGGTCTTGCTGGATTCCTTGCGGGCCTTGGTAAGAACAACGTCGTCGTTGAGACCAGCTCCAAGAAACTCTTCGGCTTCCCCGGTGCTGGCGCCCTCGGTGGTGGTGGCGCGGCCGCGGCCCTTGCTGGTGCTGGTGCTGGAGCTGGTGGTGCTGGAGGTGCTGGCGCAGCTGCAGGTGGTGGTGGTGCTGGTGCCATTGCTAAGAGCGGACTCAAGGGTTTTCTTAACGGACTTGCTCAGGGCGCCAACTAAGCATGCACATAAATAGAATAGATATATTTGGTTGAGTAGGAGGTCGTGGGTATGGGGTCGGAGGTGTATGGTACAAGCACGACGATATCGATGGTAGTAAAATAATGCTGGTCATTGAAATGTAAATAGTAGTAATATATGTCTTATGAACTTTGTTGGAATAGCTTCTATGCATCTCCGTCAGCGCATCGTGGGAAGTCGGGTTGGTAGCAGTGACGTCACTTTCATTTTCGTAAGTAGCTATTGTTCAGCGACGCTCCTTCACCCGGAAGTACCACATCGAACGGAGTATAAGACACATGTTCATAACGACTCCTATCGTCGGGAACGACAGTGCTTGATCGATACCGCCATACGTCGTCACTAACAGAACGCATGTCATCACTACCCAGGGCGAGCAGCAAAGTGAGAGTAAGTACACACTGTACCCAGAACAATAGCATGAAGCCGAAACATTCGCCGCTCTTTGTCCAGCACAGCTTCACTTGCCATGTTCTTTGCGACGATACAATGGTAAGCAACAACAATGGTAAGCAGGTAGACAGCTGGCAGCTCATTGTCCATGCATCCACATATACCTTGATATCGACTTCTTTCAATCTCCAGACACGACTCCTACTCCTCTTCCATTTTATCTCACGGTCCAATATTGCAGTAGAATCGACATTCTTTATACAAGCATCTTCTTCAAGCACTACCAACCATAACATCGCCACCAAAGTCCACAACCCACAACCCACACTCATCAAACACAACAACACGATGCTGGAAACCATCTCACAGCTGCTGCTGGCTCAGCTCTCCATCTTCTACCTCTCCACCAAGGCCATCATTCCCAGTCTCGATTTCCCAATTCTCAACATCTGCATACTCGTCAACGACACTACACGGCCCCCATTTTCTCTTCCATCCACCCAGTCCCGTTCTCAGCACAAGCCACACGGCATTAGCAGCAGCAAGCAACGGGCGCCAAAGACGAAGAAGCCAAGGTGCAAGATTACGCCCAAGATCAACGAGATGTCGTCTCCTGGTCTCCAGTGTGCGACTATGTGATCGATCATAGAAAGAGAGACTGGAGAGTGTTGAGCGCTGGTTCGCTGGCACATTGGTTCATCATGGTATGTGAACACTATCTCCCCACTTTCGGTGCACCTTTTACTGATCATGGGGACAGACTCGCAGCATCGAGCATCAATCAGCTTTTGATATCTGAAATCGGTCAAGGGGTGGCAATATGCGGGTTGTCACGCTTACATTACACGAAGGGTTGATAGAGGTTTTTGCGGTCCTTTCCTTCTTCTTCTTTGCGACGGGATCGAGGCTTCACATTGATTATACATCACTATCGAATCATACGGAGCAAGCTTGCAGTACTTTTTGTATAATTCCGATATTGTCCTAGAACTCGAAATCTACTATTGGTCTCTATATGCAAGCAGTATATGGAATCTATGTACTGGAACACGTCTCCCCCATCATGTCCCTGTGTGGCTTCATCGCACTCAACGACGCTTGCCCAGCATCTCCACACCTAAGCCATCCTTGCCTTCCTCACGTGTAATCTGCTCGGCAGCCTTGACGAGATCGTATGTTATGTCGTCTCCAACAACGCTATCCTTCTTGTAGTTTGGATGCGTTTGGACGAAATGCCTGATCCACTTGGCGGCAGTCCAGTATGTTCCATTGGCGCGTTTGCGGATCAGGTCCAGGTACGTGGCGAGATCGCAACGTGTTTCAACATCGACGTTCATGCTGTTGAGGTAGGATTCCACAAGCGGGATGAGACCCGGGAAGCCATTGCCATCGGAAGTAGTCTTTCCGTTGATGACTTCATTGATAGTCATCTGCTCGTACTCGTCTTCCACTGGGCCGGTGGGCGTGGCTGGGCGACTGGCATTTCCAGCTGGTGTAGATGTACCCGTTCCGCCCGACTTGTGTGCCGAGAAAGGGTCCTTTCGGAACCAGAATTTCTGCGTCGATACAGCGTCGCGGATGTGCGCAGTTTCCATGTTCTCGCTCACCAGCGTGATGGGAATGTAGAAGTTGAGGTTGAATGAGAGGATAGCACGGGTCAGTAGCACAATGAAGATCGAAAATGCAGCATTTTCGAAATCTGTGATTTGGATCTCCATGGGCCGGAACTCGACGCGCCAGCCCATGTCGGAACCAGCTGGCGGTGGCTTGAAGCGCATGTGTTGCCAATTGGTCGACTGCAGGTTTTCAAAGTGGTCGGCCTTGGTAAGGTCCAACTCTTGAAGATCTTCGGCGAAAACGACAATGGGGTCGCGGATGAACAGGTGAGCAAAGTGTGTCGCTAGGAGATCGTCCATGCCACCCTCGACTAGCCGTTGCTTGATGTCGCTGTCAATGATGAGATCAGGGTCAAGATATTCAGGACGTAGGCGAGGATCTTGGGAGATGTAGGTTGAGTTTGATGCGTAGCGAGATTTGGGTAGTCGCCATCGGTCGTTCTTGAGCGGCTATGACGTGTCAGCGGATTCGTGATACTCAACAAGCACATGACTTACCTTCTCCCCAAGTTCTTCGGGCGTACGATCATCGACCGCCCTGCTAATCTGGTTCCACCGCACATCGGTGTCGGCCAGGAAGCCCTTGTAGATGGGGGTCGCCGCCGTCAATGCTAGCAGGATAGGTGCTATCGGACTGAGCTGGTCGTACATCTTCCTTCCCTCTTCAATGTTCTTTGCTTGGAAAGTGATCTGCAGACAGCAGCTTCCCATGCCAAAAGCCATGGCATCCATGTGGATGTAATTGTCCTTGGCAGCGCCATTGCGCACGTCATCATCTTCAGGCCAGTTGTGCATGTCATAGTTGACTGTAGGATCCTTCCACGGCCATGGCGTGTTCTCGTCCTTGAACACAGGGACGTTTACTTCGACCTTCCGGCCCCTCCGCCAACGAATGTTTGCTGCCAGTGTGGGAAAGCGAATGTGTGGGTTGGCAATTTCGTCCGGAACAAACTGGGAGCGCAGCTTGGGTCCTGAAACAGGATATGATGGTACGATACAATCGGCCGATCCAAGACGGGGGAACGTCGTTAATGTGATTGGAAACTCGGTCTGTGCCATGTGATCCTTCGCTATGGTTCGTCTGCAAGAAAGGTGAGCAATCACTTCATCGACGATGAGGTGGTGTGATCTACCTCCATTTCATGTTTGGCTCAACGTCAAGCAGGTCCTTGAAGCCAATGCCCCAGGGCTTCCCAGGAGTTGCTTCGAGCATGAATCTGCCGAACTCAGGATGGAACACCGGCGCCGGGTTTTCCTTTGCGCTGCCATGGTCAGTACAAGACGTCCAAATTTGGACAGTCAGGCTCACTCGGCGTCTCCGGTTTGCAAGTCAGGCACTCCGCCGCCCTGCTGCAGAAGCTTCTCATCGTTGGCCAGCGCAGCTAGGATATCAGCCTGACGGAGCGACAGTCGGACCTTGCGGTTGTCCTGGTCATAGCAAACAACCAGGTACTCGATCTGGACGGCAGTCAGTCGCCGACGCTGCAACGGACGAGCGGATAGTAATCCTTCACCTCATCTCCCCAAAGAAGGGCATCCCTCTCCTTGCCTTTAGCATTGCGCCAGATAGCGAGTAATTGCTGTCAATCACATCAGTACGTAGTCCTCCGGGGTCTTGTCACGGAGCGTACTTCAATTCCCCATGACCTGACCTGGCCAGCGACTTTCTTGGCCTCTGGCCAGTCAAGAGGCGTTCCAAGAGCACTTGATATGGCATTAGCGAGGGCGGCGCGCAAAGTAGCACGGATCTCACAGCAGACCCATCCCCAAGTTCTGTAAGGCGTTGCGGTAGGCAGTCCAATGCGGGTTGGTGCACGGGCGGGCCGAGCAGACGTGTGAATGGGTGGCTTCTCGTCTTGAACGGCGATTGCGGGGAGGTGTTCGGGGAGCACTGCAGATTATAGGACGTTTAGCGGGGTTTGATGCAACGCAGGGCTTTTGCAGTTTTGGACGCGCTGCAGACGCCTCGGTTTCCTGCGTTATCAAGGGATCGTCGAATGGCGGGCGATTGAAGGAACGACAATTCCTACGCGCTCCGCTGGCATCGACGGGCAATTTGCAGAGCTAGAGTCGGGTGTATGGATTATTAATGCGCAATGCAGTAAGCAATTCCTGTGGCCCCTTCCGAGGAGGAAAGCCCCGCCGATGACGCTTGCCTCTTTGGTAAGCTGGTCACGACATCAACTCACTGTGACACTTCTGCTGTGCGCGCATTCCATCTTTCTTTGCGCAACATGGTTGGGCATCCTGACAGCGAGCCCGCATGTGCGAATGCGCACGGCGTAGTCTCCTGCTGTCCACAATGCGCCTCGCCTACCGCTGTCTTCAACCACGTGCACGCCTGTCGCTACGCCGCGCGAAGCCCTCCTACTGGCGCAAGACCACGCCGCGTACCTAGGTTGAGAATCCCGATAATGTACGTTGCGAAAGGGTCCCCTTGGATACCATTGTCGCGGGCCGCGGGCTCCGGTGGCATGATACCGACTGCGCCGCAAGTATTGGCTCCAAAAGCATCGACGACATGTCTCTTCTTCGCTCTACCAAGCCGGCTCATTTCTTGGGCGGTGGTGTTGTCTGAGCTAAGCAACCGCCACTGCGGTACTGCACGACCAGGATCGGCTGCTGCTAGGCGTGCCGCACACTTTGCATCGTCGAGGTGCACATCGCCTTGCATATTGGGGGCACCAGAACGCAAGGTTATCGTGTCCTCGCTACTCTGGGCCTTCTGCAGCTACTTGGGTTGCAAGGTGCGACTCCGATGAGTTGTTATTTGACAGATGATACAATATGCGGGCAGCCTGTTTATATTGGGACGAGCCTGCGTCAGTCGTGGGCTGTGGTGCGAGCACTGCGGCACCATTCTCCATACCCTCGAGGAGCAGCGGCTATCATACGGCTGTGATGCGCAGAGTGAAACAGGATATAAGGTATTAACTTCTAGATTCAATAACTTCTACGTCGCTGGGCCTGAAAGCCGGTGGTATCTCTTTGTAAACGCCTGTCAAAATCCCCAAAGACTCGCACACTTCTAGTAAAGTGTGTCGCGCAAGAATGCCTAGAAGAACAGTAATCGTGAGATGGTAAGCGCTTGTTTCGGCGCACCGAAACGCCCGACCTATGATCGAGCCATCCTAGCAGATGGTGATATACAGAGAACGCCTTCAGCCAGTCTGCGGGCCTGGAAACCCTTGTGTATGTGCCAAAATGCAACTACTACTACTAAAAGACAAGCAAGAAATAGACCGTAGTATACGTGAAGCCCTAGTGCCGAGCGTAGCATGATGTTCTGGATCCGTTGTGGGCAACATCGGTGTGTTGACACGGAGGCACCGGTTCTCCCGGTTCGCCGTCTCCTCCAGAGTCGACCAAGCCGTCTGCAAATGACGTCCCTAAAAATGGTATATGGGCCCGCCGAAAATGTGAATGAAACAGGGTCATGGTCTCTAGTAAGACCCGCCAGTAGGCATGGGCCCTCTTTGTAAATGCAAACAGTATCTGCGCCAACACTCCTATGTAGTGAAGATGATGGAGACGTGTGATGGTGGTAACAAGCCCCAGAAAGATATCGAAGCAAATATGTACGGCTCCAAGGGCGATATGTCGAGTTAAGAAATTACTGTGGTCGACAATCACATCGTGGGTGAACCATGGTCAATGGATTTGGGTCGTAAGTTTGAGCTGGTCATGGCTTGCTTGCCACCCATTTTGCGGGTAAGCTTTGCATAGTCTGAAGGCAACGTCAGTCTGGGAACACATCTACTATTGTGAGTTGACTACTTACGTAGACCGCAAGCATTGCACAAGGTCCTGGCACCATCTGGCCCTCTTCGCCACTCAGGGGTCTCGGCTCTATTGCAGCTATGGCATCGACCTGGCGGCGCAGCTCGCTGTCAGGTGTGTCAGTAAGAGTAGTCAGTTGGTGGGGTGTGGATCACTTACGCCTCGTTTCCGAGTCTTGTTGTCGCCACCAGCAAAGCCGCCCATGCCTTTGTTGTCGTCACCGTAGTTGCTTGCATTGTCATCGTAGCCATTCATCGGTCTATACCGTGGATCCTGAGGAGGCTCCACGATGCTCGCCTGTTGATGATTGAAAACGACGTCTCGCATTCGCTGGAGGGACATCTGAATCCTTTCGCTTTGCTTAAGCATATCGTCGACCTCTTCTAACCGGGGCATTGACTGTGGTGTCATGCCAATGCGTTGGTTCTCATGGGCGCGCTGTCTGTAGATCTTCGAAAACTCTGCAATGCGTCCAGACCCGTCGGCCATCTCGTTAAGGGAAGCCTCAAGATCGAAACTCTCCAGATGGCGCTTGACTGACTCGCCGTATGGAGCTAGACTTGATCGACCGATCTTCTTCTCTTCCAGGCGAGCCATTTCGGAGTTGTCCTGCCACGATTGTGGGGGATAACGGGGTGGGGCAGAGTAGGTCGAGCTTGCCGGTGGGTAGGCAGAGTTAGGAGCACTTGCTGAGGGGGCCGATGAAGGATAGCCAGGGGGATACTGCGTGTACGGGTAATGATGGTTCATGGGTCCCGTTGATGGAGGAGCAGGGCTCTCGTAGGTGGCTGGTGGTGGCGGATATGATGGATATGGGACGCTGGGGCGAGTTGCGCTCGGTGGCGGAGATTGTGCAGTCTTCAGTGGGTGAAGGGCAGGTAGTTTTGAGTTGTGTTGAGGGGTAGAATACGGCGGCCGTGGATCTGAGAAGGGCGGACGAGGCAGGGCTTCTGACTGAACCTGAGGCGGTTGTCGGGAGACTGTGGGTGATGCCGGGGCCCCGACAAATGGACTTCTTGGGTATGTGAATGGGTTGGAGGGTCCTTGGCTGGCGTGCTGGAGGTCAGATGGAAAGTGTCGTGGCCGTGGCTCGGCGGGAGAAGCAGCAGCAGACTGGGGATGATAATGCTTAGGAGCTGAAGTGATGGCTGAAGGTGGAGGCACTGTAGCTGGGAATGGCAGCGGCTGTTCCGAACCTAGGGCTTCATGTATCGATGGCAGGGATTGCCGGGCCGTCGGTCGTTGCGACTCTTTCTCGTCGCCAGAGGTCCTGCGTGAGTCGGGAGGAGACAGTAGGCCTCCAAGCGAGCCGGGTACTGCGCTGGCGACTGACGATTGGTGATTGCTGTGCAAATGCGGCGGCCCCGCGTAGGGGTGCAACGGGCTGGGCATGGTAGCAGTAGCGGCGGCAGAGTGTTTTCTTTGATACTCGACCTCTTCGCGCTTGACTCTATCGGCGTCCATGTGGTTGATTGACGGCAGACCAATGCTACGGCGGACAGTCAGCACCCGTACGGCGGGAAGGGAGCGGGGGGTCAAACAACATACCTTTGCCTGTTGCCGGCATCTATGGTTTCCATGGTGGGTCCTGTGTCGGACGGGTCGTGGTGGTGGGATGCGACAGCGAACTGCTGCGGCAACGCGATGGCGGGGAATCGTGGGTGCCGCGACGTTGATGTACCTTCCCGCACAACGTTGACCAGCACGGAGACCTGAGGTCGTTCCTTCCCGCACAACGTCAGTCGCCACGAAGCGTCTCACTTTGCTCTTTCCTCCGCAAGCGTGGCCAAGCAATTCAGTCCGATTCTTCCAAGCCCCACAGTGATGTTGCAATTGCAGTCAGAAGCCGGATTTCAGCAGTGGCGACGTCCGGATCTCTTTTTCTTCAACGAATGGATCGGTAGGCAGGCAGAATACCGGGTGTTGTTGATGTTGTTGTCGCTGCCGCTCTTTCTCTTGTCGATGCTGTGGCTGACGTAGTGTCGCGGGCACGACGGCCGTGGAAGAATCGCTTGCGTCGATACACACTCAATACCGCACTATGTGTCCGTCTCTTGCTGTGCGTCGCTCTTGGTGCTCCGAGGCGGCGCTGGTGTGTTGGATGATGTGGAAAAGAGATGGGCAGGTGTGACATGGGCGGAGGAGCGGCGATCAGACAAAACCCGTGATCTCACAGCACACTACGCGGAATTCAGCGCCTCCTCTATGCCTGCAGGCATGGTGTGAGAGGAGACGAGGGCTAAGACAACCGCAGCGGGCTAAAGCAGATGCGATCGGAGATGAACCGCTCCGGCAGCAAGTAGTCGCTCAGTGTGACGAGGATGTGCAGCGCGCGGACTAGGATGCTCTGGATACGGCACGTCTGTTTGCCCCAGCAAGGATGTGGGTGGAGAGGGCGGTCGCTGGGTGTTCTTGATGCAACACTCGAGCGCTCCAGCGGGCTCCTAAAGCGTCCACCCAAAGGGCAAGGATATGCGACACGCCACGCCCGCCCTTGCAACGCTTGCCCGATCAGATCGCGCAGCCCCCTAAAAGCAGCAAGTCTGATTTTTCAAGGCGCCATGGCGATGCTGCATGACGGGCCCACGTCCGTTGGGCGGTGGCGGCTTGGGCGTGGGCTGGCTCGTCGCCATTTCTTCTGCTCGATCCGCAGCCGTTACGACCAGGGACATCAATCGCGACCGCCATCCGCGCGAATGGGCACCCCGCGCACACGAGGTGAGATGCGCCCATGCCCGAACAGGAACAGCCCGCCGCCATGGCACGAATTATCGTTGTGGCATGCAATCGAGATGCAACCGAGCTTCCATCATGCATCCACCCCGGCCTGCACCCACGCCCGTCCTGTCACTCCGTCCCTTGGCGCCCACAGCCAGCGAACTGTCACCCACCAGCGCCGACGCCTCGCACAGCACTTGGTCGGTACCGGAGCCCTCCACTGCTGTCACTTGCGGCCGCCGCGCGCCAGAAGTCATGTGTTGGGCACCAACCCTCCGCCGACGGTCTATCGCAACTTCCTGCCAGGCACTTAACCTGACACCACTTCGGGAATCTCCATCGCCCCAGGGGTGCCCGCGCATCTGAATCGGTGGCAGTGCGATTAGTGCAGCGGGGCTGCGGACGCCAGAAGCGCCCTCACAGAAAAAGGCACATGGTGCCGAAGAACCATCTCAGCTCGCCAGATCCCATCGGCCCGACAGGCTTCGATTCATGGACTTCCATCAGACGTCTGAGCCAGTCTTATCGCGTGCATTTGGCCTGTCTATCCATCAGCCCATTTCCTGCCATCGCTCTGTCCCACTTCTGCTTCGCAAGCAGGCTTCGCAGGCGTACCTCTCGGTTACGTCAGTAGTCGCTAAACCCCCTCAACTATTTGCACTGGCTCCATCCTCCTCCGAACCATGCAGCTCCAAGCGCTTGACCGTTGACGCCTACACGCGTTTAGTGTAACGCATGGAATCACCTCCTGCACGACGGCATCGTCGTGCGTTCGCGTCTGTTAAACGTCTGTGCTATGACCAATGCGCTCCGGCGCTGTCAAGTCGATATAATCAGACCGTAACCGACCCAAAGATCGCTGGTACGCTATTAACAAGTCTCCGTAGCGATCCAGCTGTACCAGTGGGACCGTCAGCCATCTACGCTCGTCATCTCCTACTACTCACGCCTCGTACCCTGCGAACCTTGATGCAACCATAAGGGCCTCTCGGAATGTTCCTCACGCCGGCTGACGACGGTCTGAGTATATGCGCAAGCCGAGTGAAGTGACTGTCGGCGTCATCTTTCCGGTCCGGTCACCGTTCAACACCGTTTTGGATATTGGGTGCAACGTGATTGTTGGGCGCCGCAGCATGCATCAAACCACATATTCCATGTCCCACAGCCTTTGAGTGCCTCTGTTCATCTTCACTATTCTCAGGGCCGCCGCTCGTCCCATGCTGTAGTGTCTGCGATATGGATAAGGCGCAAGCATGAACGTGGTATCGGTGGCTTGTAACGTTGAACCGGCGCAGACGCTCGGTTGCGCCATCGTTGAATCTCGCTAAAACATCCTTCTATGTACGGTACGCCTTAACACAACACAACGGCTAATTTTGGCTGACTTCTCGACACCACCTTGCAGCACGCGTCCGATTGACGAGTGTCCGATCCGGAGTCATGTCTGGATTTCCAAGCAGCCGGCATCTGACATGCGCCGGTTTGCGCAGTGTTACATGGCGCGGAATCCAATCATGCGCTGATGACTGACCCATGTACTAATGGGCAGGGTCAAAAGCTCTGTTTCGTTTCAAAACGCACATTGTGAGGGATGAATCGAGCTCAAGAATCAACTCTCATGTGGTCGCTTGTTGAGAGGAGCTTTTGCTCGATATTTTGAAGGAATTAGAGAGAGCTGGTCCTCATTCATCCACCGAACCTATCCATGGATCCCAAGCTCAATGTTCGGCTTGAGCCACATGTACCTGGCATTTCTGACCCAGCAATCTAGGTTCCAGTTGTGTCTTTCCTGTTGGATGCAGACACCCTACCCTTGCATGTCCGGCACTTGGTTCAACTTCTGAATTTGACCATGCAAAATGTATCGGTATATCGACTTCATTGGTCTTTTATCCTATCGGTGTGGCAGTGTGTGCCCCGCAGTGTCATATCTGACAGGCGATGCCCCACATCTCCTCCGTTCGCGACAACGCTGAGAAGTCACTGGTTTCACAATCTGAAAAGCAATCACGGCAGACATGCTGTATGGTACTTCTTCGGATTTTGCAAAGAGAGTATCCCACTCTTGATTGCGGTCAAGCCGAAAACGTGACGAGCAAGTCATGTGGCCGATGTGGCCGTTTGTTATCCGCGGCAAAAGTTGACTCAAAACTGGTCCGCATGTAAATATCGGTAAGCGACGAGATGGTCCATGCGTGATTCACATGCTACTCTCTCGGTCAGTCACCACTAGTGAGGCGAATCCTTACCAGAAGCACATGCTGCATGTCCCAGAAAAAACGCATTGGTGCTTCTCGAAGTCTGACGCTGGACAGCGAATGGAGCCGGCAGAACATGCGACACATGTTATCCATATCCTTGCAATAGCATTTCTGTGCTGACTCGAGATCTCAATCATCTACCCTGGCTCGGCGGGATCGTGATCTTGTTTCGGGCACACCCTTTTCGTCTGCTGCACCTGCAGCTGCATGTATCCGATTCTGTTATCCAGGCTTAGCGGACGTTGGCCCAAATCGGTCTAATGTGTGCTGGCCGATTCGGTTTCATGCTTAAGCGACATGGTACATCACCCAGCACGCCGGTTCAGATGCATCAAGAGTATCGCATCGTACGACACCTGACGCAAGCTGCCAATTGTGTTTTGAAATCTTCTCTTCTTCAAGCTCGAGCCTTGTCCGTCATCGGGCTTTTACTCCAACCAGGATATGATCACCACGCCCATGATTCCGGTTGAGGAGCCCGCGAGGCGTAGCGATTTTCGCTCGGCTCGTCGCGGAAAAAAGTAAACGTTTCTTGTCCCGCTCTCTCAGGGTCCGCATGGCACATTCAACCTCTTTTTGGCGACCCGCGTCAAGCAATGGTCGATCGAAATATAGAGCCGGCCATCTCTCGTATTGATTGGAGATCTTATGGAGAAGTGGGTCTATAGGCGCGTACGATCATTTCGCATGGCCACTTTAGGGAAGCCATTGCCGCAAGGGATGTCGATTTACGGAAGACCCTATTTTGTTGACGGTTGTCGACGATGCGTTGCGATCCTGCAGTCGGACGGCAGGAGATTTGTAGGCCGCGGACCTTCAGGCTGAGCACGTTCGTAGCGATGCTCTGAGACTCCGCTGTCACGCACGAGCTTTTCGCGTGCATCGCTCATCGCTTTCGGTCTCCAGGAGCAGGAGCGCGGCTGATTATGCCAAACAAGAAAGCAACATACCTTGGGGTAAGCCTGACACCACCAGACTGCATTGTTACAAGGATCCTGCTGAGTTGTTTTTCGCAGCCGCCCGCAGTCTTCACAAAAGACACAACAGGCGCCAATGAAATGCGACAAGAGGCGGCTCGGGACTTTTCACGATATCTTGCTGGCCAACTGCCGCCGCACTTAGATGCACTCTACAATGCGACTAGCTTACTAGGTGCGCATCGTGAAGAAAATCCTCGTGTGGAGTTGTAACTGGATCTGCAAAGAGAAGGACCGATTCAGGTAGTCATTCTGCGGAGTTCGACTAATCGGAACAGGTGGACATTGTATGTACAGCAAAGTAGCACACCTCTACTGCAGCTGCTAGCAGTCCAACGGTGTGGCTCTGGTGTACCGGCTATCATGAGAATCGCGGCTTGGCTCTAGATCCCTAAATGGCAACAGGGTCTAGCATGCGAAACGCAGACATGGAAGCCATGGTTGCGCATTTCAGATGATCTTGCGTTCGCATGCGAGCAGCTCGTTCTGCCAGATCTATGACGACATCGATCTGCCCTCCCGCAGTCAGAGATCTGGCTGGGGCTGTAAGATCAAACCAACGCACGCCCTTGCCCCCCAAACATAGTTTGACTGTCATTGGTGAACTGCCACTTCGAGGGACACCCGTCATTGCTCGAGTTTTCCACAGTAAGGTCCCGACGCCTCACTTCATGCGAGATTACCCTGTCGCTTCACCTTGAATTCCCGGATACTGGAATGCGAATGCGAGACGTAGATCTCTGGATCCTCCCGCGTCGGCACGCGGCGGCAGCTCCACCACAGATCATTCGCCGCTTTCGACAATGATGGCTGCCACTATTCCGTGAAAGACGGCACAGGAGCAAATCAGCATAAGCCGACAGCTCACCTCGTGCAGAGCCGCCTCTGGCCCAAGTTGGCATTTAACGTTTAGAAGGCAGCGCTACGCTTGTCACGAAACGCTCTTTTCGGCACGTTACGCTACGAGAGGTAATAGCCAATTCACGCGCAGCCAGATAAGCGCTCGTTAAAGCGGCACAAGATCACCAAACGGGATAGAGTTTCTGACTACATGCCAAGCTCAGACGAGTTCGCGCCATGAGGGCGCCTCGGCAAACAACGGGATGCTGTCGACGCCATCGCCATCAGATGCGATAGGCAAAAGACCTCGCATGTGTGGAGGGCTAGTGTCTCGAGTCGGCTGCCCTTCTCTTCACCGGTGTAGGAATACCTGAGCTTCGAGTATACTAACGACGTAGTCACGGTGAAAGCCACGTCGCCAGCGCATTGAAGAATATTCCTTTCGGGTTCGAGGCGCTTGCGGCCATACTCCATTGACCTTCGCGCCGGCTTTGCTTTTTACGAAAATCGCCTACCGAGTGGACTCTCGTACGACGTGGCGCTGCAAACCTCCAGACGCTATTAGGGCGTTTCGGGTTGCCCTGCAGTAGGAGGCTGACTAGCCTCTGCCACTTACACGTGATGAACACGGTGGACTGCGAAGTTGTCTAATGGCTAGCGAAGACGCGTCGATCCCACACTACACCCGCTATAGCCGGGTAGGTAAGCCTCCGCGATACGCTAGGTCGAGGCTACATACCTAGACAAACCCGCTCGTCTCCTTGATGTCGTGAATATGCGGTCACCGACGCATCAGGCCGAAGATGGACGGCCAAATGCGGCCCCATGCTGGTCCCTGTTGCAACACTCAAAGTGGATTTCTGCCCAAAGAGAAATGGCGGAGATACTGATCAGCAGCCTGGATGTCTACCGGAATACTGGATGGGCCGTCGCTACTAATGAGAAGTGGCAGCCCATCACGAGGGGAAAGATGCCTATCCTCTGGGTATCAATTCAACAAGCCTCCAGGCCGAGGCACAATACTCGATAGTTCAGCATGAGATGAAAAACAGGTACGCCATGCCTCTTGACGTCTATCTCCGTCACTAAAACGTACCGTGGGCGCCTGCGAACTCCGCTCCGACCTTCAAACTTTCCGTGTGCCTGGGACCGCTACTACATACCGGATTAACATCCGACAAAACCTGCCGCTCACGTTGCTTTTCGTCGCATGCACATACGTTGAGCTGTGGCTGTGGGTTCTAGAATCGTCAAAGTGACAGGGTCGCATTCTAGGGTATCAATTGTCGTGTTCCTCACCCGTATTGATCGACAGTCAGGTACGGGCGGTGAGTTTACGACAGTGCTTTTTTGTGAGGACGTGGCATATCGATATTGCGACAGTGGATAATTTGCTTCACTTTGGCCTGCTGTTACTGCTAATGGCAGATCATTTCTTGCATGTTCGGCACACGACCCATCCGGAGCTTCAGATGTTTTACCATCAGTGTAGTACCGCCTGCCAGCCCTGAAGCTAGGCAATATTGGCTGGATAAAGGGAACTCTTGGCCGCTTCTCCTGAGATCCCCACGTGAGTAGTGCTCGATTGCGTTTGCGGCTGGGTAAACAAACAGGGTAGTGCAGATCGTGAGCTCTGAGCTGCTTCACTTCCCACGTGAGCAAGTATTCTAGATGAGTCATCTAGGCTTCCTGGGGAATTCGGTTGCTCCTGCAGCCTCATTTATTGCTAGGTCCATAGCCTGGCAAGAGAACGCTGGTTGACCGGGTGACAAGGCGAGGCGAGTGGGAGTACGCTTGATGTAGCCCGATGGGCCACATGTCACTGTCGCTGAACTGATGGAAGGACTGCCACAATGACTTTACCAAGAACACCGATTACTCAGTTACCATCTGGAGACATGAAAGATTGGATGAACCGGAACAAAGTATCCTCACACACGCATTTGCCTATGAGGTATGACACGGCATAACAGGTATGAGTGGTTAATGCAGCGCACACTTGCTGTGCATACGTCGAGAACCACTTGTTCTCAACTGGATACCTCAACACTGACACTTACTCCAAGTGTCACAGCTCATGTTCCTTGCTGTCTGCTTTGACTCTGACGACCCGGTCTCAAAAGGCTTCCTTGATGCACTGTCCTCCTGACCCGCCTTTGTTGAGATCTCACAGGAACTTCTTACTAACACAGTGCTATTACGGTGGAGTGTTGATGCAGAGCAGGGCATCAAAACGCCTAATACAGGGCTATAATGGCACTGATTCGAAGAATGCGCGGGCATACTACTTGCATGTAAACGCCAGGTTGCTATCACAAACAAAGATGTGATGATGTAGGTGTTTACCTCTGTCGTATCCGCGCAGTTGACATGTCTTGATGGCAGTCTGCATCTCCCGTCTTTCCATAAGACTCTGACCGAGGATTGTTGGAACGCCAACATGTACAAGATTTCGTTTTGCAAAACTTGTATTGACAGCGCACACCATTGATCGTCACGATTATGGGTACTTTTCATGACCCATTCTCCGCATATACTGATCGCAAAATGGTAGCGAAGACCGCATGCAGAATACCCCCGACCAAATTTTCGTCGAAGTAGCAAAAGCATGGCATGCACACTCGGATACCGAGGTCAGTTCGGGATGGAGATAGACGCATACACATTGTGATCTTGATCATTTCAATATTACCGTATTGATGGATGATCTCATTTTGATCTCAACAAATTCCGGTTGAAGTTTGTCAGGAGGCAAAAAAGTGTAATATATCAGTAATCGGAAATAGACGCAGAGGTAGTAATGCTAATTGTGAATAGGGAGCGAGCGCATGCATCAAGCTCGACAAAAAAACAACCTCTTGCATGAGCGGCCAGTCCTGATAGAAGATATGAGGTTATTCTTCGCAGTGTACCTCTTCGAAATATAAGAAGGTGACATCAGGACAGCTCACTGTTTCGCCACTTGGGTACGCTGGGAAAGATACTACTATGACTAGGACTTGGAACAAGGGCATGTCTGGGTCGTGGCTTTGTCTCTCAGGGAGAATTGTTCCAGAATCACAGTCGAATGTGTGCGTTCATGAAGTTCGGCTGCGGTAGCGAGGGTCGACGATCTAGATACTGCAGCTGTCCGTTGGCGCTACTACCACGGTACGGTAGTGCATGGCGGAGACATGGACGCGCCACAGAAGCGGGAGATCGTCCAGGGCCCATCTGTCATCTCAGATCTGCCACATGTCACAACAATCCGATGGAAGCAAATCTTTGACGGCACCAGATTCTTCCGACGACAGCTGAGATGCAAGAGGCAATTAGCGAGGGCGGAAACTTAGATGAGGTGCAGCAGGAGTCATGCAGCTGGGACAGGGGTTCGTGGTTGCGCAACCCAACCCGCCTCACGACGGTCCACGATTGAGCCTGAGCTGCAAACCTCACTCACACAAAAGTACTCTTCGCGAGCATTCCGAGTCCCCTTCTGGCGCACACGATAATCGGCGAGCGACGCAACACGACCCAGGCAGCGCGTGGTTGCACGGAAGACAGTACCGCGATCTCCAGACCTTGCCTGTTCGGTGAGGCTTGCGGCTAGCCCCCGTCGACTCGAGCAAGATCATACGACTTGTCGAACCACCCCAACACCCATCGACACGCGCAAACAATCACAGCCCCGGCCCCGTCGCACGCTTCCTGCAGGCCATTCGCTTTGACGGTAGTGCAGCAAATCCCGGCGCACACTGAGGCAGAGGCAGCCCGTCCGATCTGCCGCCCGCAGTCGCGTCGTGAGCCTGCGAAGGAGTGGCATGATTTCCATGTGCATGTAGTAGCTGGTAAGCCTAAGGCGGAGCCCTCTCTTTCTCTACCAGACCCGTACTCTGTATACACTGTCCCTCTTGTTCGCCGTCTGTCGCCGTCGTCGTCGCCGTCGCTCCTGTCGCAGCTAGCAGCCCGACGCCGTTCTAATGGCTTCTGACCCGTACGGCAGCCCCGACGATGGGCTGGAGCTGGAGCGAATCGCCGTGCGTGACGCAATGCTTTTGCACTTTTGCATGTCTCGAGTCTCTGCTAACATGGCCTTGCACCATCCAGGTCGGCCCCTACTGTGTGTTTGACGACTTCCGCCTGCCTCCAAGTCCCCCGCCCATCCACCCGTCGGCTCCCGAGGCCAAGCGACCCACGCCCCAGATGGAGGATCCCATGCTGTCGAGCGACTTCCCCTTCGCCAACATGCGCGGACCGTGGCTCACCACCGCTGGCGACGACATGCCCCTCACCGCGCCCGCTGACGACATGACCAACTGGAACGAATGGATGCAGTACGATCCCGCCCAAGCGTCTCAGAACTCCCAGAACGTCGACCCCAAGCCCGCGAATCCGCAGGGGCCTGCCGCATATCTCAGCCCGGATCAGCAAACCTCTCCGCCCCATCTCCTTCCTCACCAACAATCCCAATCGCTGCAGTCCAACACCGTGCCGACTACCGCCCCCATGTTCGCGCAATCGCATGGCGTGCCCTTCACCTTTGGCCAGGGCGCTGACATGCCGCCGGCCTTTGACTTCAACAGCGCTGACCTCAGCTCTCCACTGACGGCTGAGATGCAGCAGCAGCAGCACGCCTACTACACGTCCCAGCAGTGGCAGCAGCAACAACAGCAGCTGGCTGAAAACACCCTCTTCTCCCCCACGCAGTTCGACCAAACTGGCTTTGTCGCACCGCCCGCCTCCACGCCCAGCCTCCACCACAGTCCCACCTCGCTGACCAACGGACGAGCCAGCTCGACCTCGTCGCATTCATCACCAGAGCCTGCGACGAACAATGCACGCAAGAGAAAGTCATTGGCCGACTCGGAGGAGCTCGACGACGATGCCCCGTCGAGCAAGAAGGGCGGCCCGCCCAAGAAGACCGCCCACAACATGATCGAGAAGCGCTATCGGACGAACCTCAACGACAAGATTGCTGCTCTTCGCGATAGTAAGTCACTTTTCCATGCGCAATTGACATTAGCTGATCGACATACAAGGTGTCCCAAGTCTTCGCGTCATGTCGCGGCCGAACGGTACGGAAGAAGACGACGACCCTGAGGACCTTGAAGGCCTCACGCCCGCACACAAGCTCAACAAAGCGACCGTCCTTTCCAAAGCCACTGAGTACATCCGACACCTCGAAAAGCGTAACAAGCGTCTACAAGATGAGCTCAACACTATGAAGGGCAGGGTCGAGAGCTACGAGAAGATGGCCATATCGGGTCCCATAACACTACACGGCACTGTCAGCACACCAGATGGTTCAAGATTCCACAAGGATCCTTTCACGCCGACACACAGTATGCCCATGTCAGGACCACCACAAGGAATGATACCAGTCCCAGAGAACATCAGCGCCCTCCAGCGCGGCATCCCACCTCAACAGCACTATGCGCACGCATATCCTCCCGGCTATGGCGGTCGCCCAGCAGTGGGCGCGCCTATGGTCAACGGACGACGCAACGGTGCTATGATGGGCAAGCTCATGGTCGGATCTCTTGCCGGCCTCATGATCTTGGAGGGACTTGCAGAGCGCGAGCAGTCACAAGAAGAGCCAGCTGGACGCGGTCTATTCGCCTTGCCTGTCAATCTCGTCGGCATTCTTGCTCCTCGTGTCTCCCTGGGTGTCTCCACAGCTCAGATTCCTTTAGCCAAGCTTCTATTGGTATTCGCCGCCTTCTTCTACCTCGTCGCGCCGCTGCTCGACTTCAAATCGAAACCGAAGAGGAAGTCACCGCCCGCAGTTTTGTTGACACCCGCGCCGTCACTGGCGTCTCCAGTCGAAGTACGTCGAAAGGCATGGCTCACCGCAATCCAAACAGTCTGGGTCCCTCAACACAACTTCATACTCGAGCTCGCTGCTCTGGGCCTCAAGACCCTCAAGCTCAGCATGCGAAGGCTCATTGGATGGGAAGGATACGCCTATCTCACCGGTATTACCAAGGAACAAGAAGCCGCTCGTGTCAAAGCTTGGGAGATCGCATTGGATGCCCAGCTCACGGGCGGTGACGCTGAGATCAGCACGAGCCGTTTGGTGCTTACTTTGATCGCTTCCGGTACCTTGCCCGATACGCCCGCGAGACTCATGCTCAAGGCCATGCATATCCGAATTGTGCTTTGGGAGCTTGGAAACGCAGGTCATGGCTCGTGGTGGATGCTCAACGAGCTGAGTGCGAAACTGGCCCGAAGCTACTGGAATATGGCACGGAGCGAGCACCGCATCGCCATCAACACGTCGAAGCAGAACAATGAAGCTGTACCATTGCCAGAACACCTAGCAGCACTTATCGAGAGGGAGTGCGATGAGGTACTTGTTCCTGCAGTTGTGCAGCGCGCATATAACCTGGCTTGGAACAGGCCAAGCGCAGAACAGACAACTGTAGACACCTCCATGGACGCTGTTGTCGAGGACTTTGCCATCTGCTCTCCATTGGATGCGCTTGCGGCCTGGTACTCTAGCCTTGTTCTGAACAAGGGACTCGCAGCCACACTTGGTGCAAAGAACAGCTCATCCAAGGACAATATCGTCTCTGATCTAGCACTCGCTCTCTGCGCTGCCCCACCGAACTCACAGGCCCAGCTACGTGCGCTAGTCGCTCAAGCTGTTGTACTCGACGAAGACCGAAACACTCGCATCGCAGCAGCACTCGAAGCCCTTCCATCGTCGCCTAAGCCTGCCGATGCCGGCTTCATCAATGTCGTCGGTAACGGCTTCGTTGCAGTCGATGTGCGGAAGGGCCTCACCTTGGCCAAATGCCTCTCGCTGGCCGCTTCCTCGAATCCCGAAGCCCGCCGCCGCGCCATCTTCGTTATCAACAACACTTATCTCCCCGAATGCACAACCACACTGCTCAGCTTCGTTGCCGCTCACAAGGTTCTTACGCAGTTCATGGCAGACGATACGCTGAAGAAGGAAACTAGCTGCGGTCTAGAGAGGACTGCAAGTTCCCTTCGCATGTGGATCGGTCACGAAACAGGCAGGAGAAGTGGGCTGACCAACAAGGTTCGGAGCAGGATCATAAGCAGTTGTCTCGACGCGAGCAAGATGCTAGTTGGACTGGCCGAGAGCAAGAAGAAGGATGACGCCGACGTGGATGACGGGTATGCTAGTGCGAGTGTCAAGGATGACTGAGGGGTTTGTATCTATGACTTCCCATCCGATGGGATTGGCGTTTTGGGATTGAACGAGGTGGCAACATTCACATCTCACTGGCGTTTATACGGATATTTACACGGCATGGATATGCCTGATGTATAGTTTTATCTGGCTTACGAGCCTTCCTTTCTTTGTAGCATTTGTCCTTTTTGTTAGGCTCGCATGGTGTATCCCCCATACACTTGATAGTACTGTGCAATCGACTTTGTTCGGCGTTTCAGACGTTGATCTTCTAACTGCGAACATGCATCTTGTGTCTGGATTTTGATTGTTCAATTTGTTCGGTCTCGGTATAATTAATTTAGTGCTGACTTGACATCGGTTCAAGGTCGTGCTTCGCGGCAACGCTGCTATGACCAAAGTACACTTTCGCATGTTTCAGATAGAAACACTGTAATAGTTCCGAGATCGAGCAAGACACAGATCAGAGATTGCGAACGTTTGGGGAAAAGAGATATTGTGCAGACGATAGAGGCAGAAGATTATCTTTTCTAGACCATTCTGAAACTTGTAGTATACTTGCCAGAAGACCGCGGAGAATGGTGTAACAATGGCTTCGGATTACATGAATATGAACGCAAAATTACTGGAAAAAGGCCACAACCAACAGGTGTTGGAAACTGATTCTCAAGTGATTATGATCCACCCGGGAAAGCGCATCTGCTCTTCCATGTCAGGCCTGATCCAAGCAGGCCTGGGGCCATGCACCGTTCTCGAAGCCTCACCAGAAGTCTCCTCGTATTGAAGTGCTTGTTGGATACATGTCACAAGCGGAACGGCGCCGTGTCGAATGAATAACCTATGCATGAGACGTCTGCCAGCTAGGAAAAAGCGGAGCTCTTCTTGACCGTAAGTTTGACTGATGTATCGGATCGGGACACCCTGTCTGTGCGTAATTTTGCCACTTGCAGTAGTCCACCCGATGGTTTCCCAGATATTGTCCCGTTTCCAACGGTCCGCGATGGTCTCCTCGATGGTGTATGACATTGCACCCTTGTCCACGTGCTGTGCCATGACTACTGCCTCCATGGAGCTTGTCCAATCTACCCGAACCCGAACATTGGTTCCCGGGTGAAGAATGCTGGTGGTAATCCAGAGAATCTTTTTGTCAACTGCGAGATGATATTTGATGCTAGCTTCTTCTGGGTCTGGAAGGGGCACCAGACCGATGTATTGGCCAGCCGGACCGTATGGGTCAACTGTGAGGCTCGCCGGAGTTGTCGCTACACCCTCGTCTCCGCAGGGCTCTGTGTCCATGAGACGCTGTAGGGAAACATCTTCATTTTCCCATCGTAAATAACCCGCAACTATCTCCACAGCCAGACATTGAGGTCGCAGAGTCGTGATAGAATTGATCGACGAAGCCACTGCAACGTAGCCATTTGTCGCGTAAACAAGGTCACGTCCTGAAATGCCCGATTCATATGTGCCTGTATAGCCGATAGCCATCGATGCACCTGGAAGCAAAGACGCCATTGCCTGTGCACGGTATTGCGTGATGGTGATCTTGTTCATTGGATTCATCATACTGTTGGATTTAATTGGGGGGGCAGAAGCACCCATTGCCGCAACAAGAGCATCACTGAAGACGCTGTGCAGAATGTGCATGGCATTATCGGCAATGCCAGCGAATTGGCCTGTTCTGAAGTAGCGAGTTCGCGCGAAACGGGTGCATGTCGCCGAATAAGTAGACTCAGCGGCCATGTAGCATGCAGCCTCAGCGACGTTGGGAGAGATTTGATGAGCCGGCGAACCGGAACGAGAACTGCTCCATTCACTGACGCGCTGAAGTACCCAGATCAGTGCATTTACCGGTTTCATGAAGAGCGGATGGCCAACTCCCTCCTGTGGTTGGCCTAGGTTTGGGCATCCAAGCTCCATCCAGTCCCTGTAATCTTTGGCGTATCGCCCGATAGTTGCTTCGTCGACTCCTGTTGAAGAATCCCAACCGTAACAATCCATAGAATTCCGGCTTGTCGTGAGGTAATTATCTTGCGATACGTGCTGCAACTTAACAGACCGGGGCGTGATACCGGCAGCGGTCATATCCGACATGATTTCGCCCTTTTCCAAGGCGAGCTCAACGAGTGCTGCAGCCATGTGTCCCACCAATCTGAGATCAGCGGCATCAAGCGAGTACTGGGCTTGTACAATACTTCTAGCACTTGGGGCAGGCACGAACCCGGAAAACTTCTGCACTACACCATCTTCTTCCCTCCTCACAACCACGGTAGAAACTATTTTGGCTTCCTGCCATTCTTGTATAGTCCACTGTCCCGATTGCTCCGACGTACGTATATCAAGGAGTATTCTTTGATGACCACTGGTGACAATGTTGGGCTGATCTACTGCCAAGTGGACATCACCTTCCCGGAGCCACATGAGCGATGACGCGATCATGATGCAACTGGCTATACCGCGTAAAGTGATTATGTTGTCTTTCTTTTCTTCGTCTTGCAGAAAGGCAAAGACCCTCGAGTAGACTTCCGCAATTTGTTTACTATCCGGCTCCTGGAACGCCAGTTTGAGGTGCCTGGGGTCAGTCGTGACTTGTCTGACCCTGCTTTCAACCGATTGAAACAATTGCGTAGGCACTATGACGTCGCTGAAGCCAGAAAATGCGGAAACGACGGCAGTAAGCTCACGGCGAGACGATCGGAGGTCCGGGTTGCTTGACAAGCCCTGCAGAGACAGCATTTCAAACAGTATGGCCCCGATTGCGCTGTCATCTAGCATCGTTTTGAGGCTAGTCGCAAGGAGAAAGGCTGGGACGCATCGCTTTTCCTCGTTTCGTATCAACGTAGCGATACCCCCGGTGTGCAATCCAAGCATGATAGCGAAGCGTTCAAGATGGAAATATCGTCCTCGGGTATCCAGCGCGTCGAGTCCTTCGTCGATCCTTTCTGGCGAGACGAGAATGCTCATGCCGAGAGCGGAGAAGGCCATGACGGCATTGCTTTGGGCTTCATCCTGGCGGACAGCCCTGGCCAATTTGAGAAGGGTACTTGTAAGCACAAATGACGTGTTGTCAACCGACCACTGCGTCTGGACGATCTTGTTGTCGTTGGGCATGATGGGCTGTTGGAAACCTAGAGGATTTAGGGTCAGGAACTCCTAGAAATCGTGTTGGTATCAGGTCTTTCCGATTGTGTAGCTGAAACGAGAGGCAGGCCTTCATCATATCATGCCGATAAGACATCTTCTATCGACGCGGGGTATTTGTTTGCCCTGTTGCCTGCGGCTTCCAGTCAGCCTCGTTAGATGCAGCAATGCGATTGCTTCGTTGGTCGCAGGGTTCATTCTGCCTCGTATCTCTGGTTTAGCCGGTAAGTGCATGAAGTGGTCCTCCAGCAGCGCGAACGGAAATTTCTGGAAACATCCTCTCTATTGTCGAATCAAGTCTGAGATGAAGATGGTCAGGCTCTGATAAGCTTCCGAGGCTGGTGGTTCGCAACTGCCAGGTTGTTGCGCCACCAACGACATTACGCGTCCGTGGGGAGGGGTATGTCCATACACACAAGATGAGTCGATTCCTATACTTATTCAAACTTTTACATACTACATTGCACATAGATAGATCGTAGAGAGTTGAATCTCTACGACGCTGCCCATACCCGTTGAGAAGTAGTCCCAAGCTTGCTCTATTCATACATCGTAATAGCATAAAACAACTAGCAGCAATGCGTAAAAGAGCTGCTACCGCTATGTTCAACAATACCCAGCCCGCCTGAAGATGATGATGCGGATGAGTTTCCGGAACTGAGAGCCCCGAAGATGGGGTCCAACCACTTGTCGACGGTGTAGATGCATGCACCAGGGATGCAGTAAGCTTCGCTCTTGACAGCAGCGTTATTGACGCTCGTGATAGCGCCCTTACCATCTCTTCGGACGGTCGCGGGGAATCCGACGATGGACTTCTCCTGGCCGGTCGATGTCGTGTCGATGAATGGGTACTTGAGCAAGTAGGAAGACAGCGCATTGTTACTTGGCTGAAGAGCCTTTGCGCTTTGTCCGAGAGCCGCGAGTGCTTCGTTGCTCGGCGCGAAGATGGAGAGGTTCTTGCCTTGGCCGAGAGATGCGTCGAGGAGGTAGACGAAATCGGGAGATGTTGCGTTCAGGAGCTCGACGTACGTCGATAGGTCTTTTTGCGTAGCTAGGGCTGATGAAATGGAGCCTTGGTTCTGAGACGCTGGGTATGCGGTAGATGTGGTGTTGTTGAAATCGTCGGCCCCGTAGAGTCCAGCGAAGGAATCGAGTACTGAGGTGATTTTAAAGATGGCTCCGTTTCCGACTTCGGTTCTCGAATCGGAAACTAGGTTGGCTTGTTTGTTGACCGAGACAGTCTCTCCCGCGGAGTTGAAAGCAAGAGGTGTGCCTTCGATGGCGGTGACAGACTTGCCCGAAGTCTTGACATCTTCCGTCGTGATAGATCCTTGTGCGATATGACTTCGCAAGATGAACTCGAGTAGCGAATACGATGCTGGTGCCGTCAAAGCAGTGCTTAGTTCTTGGGGTAGATTCTTGAAAGCCTGTACAAGTTAGCAACCTATAACGTAAGGCAGCACTCGGTATCATTGCTTACCGAGTTGACGGGTGCGAATGCAGTGTACTTGCGTCCATCGGTGAGATTGTTGAAGCGCTCTTCGAATTGCGGACCGGGAATGCCACTGCTGCCACCCGTGCTCTTAATGAGGCTGTAGAAGACGGAAAGGTCTGGGTCGTTTGAAATGGCAGTCAGGAGAGGGGCAGAGTCCTTGGTGTCTCGTTCCACAGCGACCGGAGAAGATGCTGCGAAGATGGAAAGCAAAGCGACTGGGAGAATGCGCTTGGCTAGCATCTTGATATCTTGATGTATAGCTTTAACTTGAACTTGAGGATCGATGAACTATTGGCTATGACGTTTTTGTCGTCCACTTGATGCTACGGACGGTCAAGCGAGAGCCTTATATGTTTGTGTAGGTCCATAGCTATACTAGCTTTCGGACCGTGTTAAAGCAAATTGTTTCGTTGTCATAGGTTTGAGTTTGCCATTAGGTAGTCCGTAGTGTATGATGGAATGCTACCAGATGGTGTAGCTTTCGGGCGAGCCAATCAAGCCAGAGGAACATCAGCAGCTAAGGGTCACTGTACCCGAAGGCGAATAGATCTTGACTACATCATCAGCGTTGCGTCAGTGTTCTTCTTCGTCAGTTGTTGTCTCTGTGACATCGGCAGGTATGACTGCCAAACATTTCGATACAATGCTGTGGATCAACATGTGGGGAGCATGAGGTTGATATCGGGAGGTTGGAGAGGAAGCATAGCAAATCCTGGAGGCGCAGTGGAGTATAATGAAGGGGAGCGCCACAAGGAATTCTGCCGATCTGATATCATGAAATACCCGACGCGCCAAGAGCAGCTAACATCTTGTGGCGTCTTTGACGCTTTCGGTAGAGTTGCATCACTACCTAGGTAGGTGCCACAATAATTCGTTTCGGAATTTTGAGTGACGCATGCTGAATGACCCTGCAACGGATTGTTATTGCGCCATCGTGACATTTCTACCTGAGTTGGTGACAGGATGAACGCGGCGGGAATGCCATCCCTGTTGGAGATCTCCCGAAGACCAATCCATGACACAGACACGCATGCAATCAAGGCCGCCCGTGCTACGAGTTAGTATGTATGCCGAGTCATCCATGCACGAAGCCCCAGCGCACACTAGTACACCGGTGTAGGAGGAAGATTGCATCATTTGCGCGTGTGGCAGGTAGGCTAATCTTGACGGAGACCAATCCGCAGTAAACCTACAGGCGGACGCGCAGCGCGTTTATACGAAGATCCGCCCCGGACAGACCCTCTCTCAGCACCATTCGGCCTTCAACAAGGACCAAAGGTTTTCTGTATGAGTTTTTAGAAAGATCTAGCATGCTCGGAATTCCTACTCACCATGCCAACCCTGCTACGTGGACCACAGGCGCCAAAGACATGCTGTAAACATGACAAGAGCGTCAAAACACCCAGTCTTTCTACCGCTTCAAAAAGTAGTAGGGAACAATAGCAGCTCCCACCATAGCAGAGATAGCTAGCCATCTCATCAACCCCTTGTTAATCATCTTCTTGGCTAATCTGTCGATGGCTTCTCCGTCGTTGATTCTCGGGAAAGGAATGTCCTTCGGGACCTCCTTCCCCAGCGCCTTACACAACGGCTCCCAACCCTCTCTGACATCGAAAAAGAACAGTCTTTTCTCGGGCACAACCCTCTTCAAGTAAGCGATGTGCGCCTCATAGTCTCGGGTGGAGACCCCATCATGCTTTCCATACAACTCTACCCATTGCTTCCCTAGGCCGTTGGTAAAGTCGACAAAGTGGCGCATGCCTGGGAGAGGAAAGAGTACAAAGCGTAAAAACCACTTTGTCGTTGCGTTTGTTATGGTTCCTATGCTCTTCACCCACGCATCTGGATCCCGAGTCGTGCATATGACCAGCGCATCAGGATAAACTTCGACTAGCTCTTGTACCAGCCCGTTGAATGGCATGTCGGTGGCTGCCGCATAGCCGTCCAGGCGCTGCCTCAGCAGATCGTGTACAAGCTCTTTCTCGGAGGGCGACTTCGGTGGTGAATGATCAAGTATCTTGATCAGCGGCTTGATCTCTTTCTCAGCGCCCAGAGTAGCCTGCGTACCACCGTGATAGACAGGCCCATTGAGTAAGATGCGCAATGCTTCGCTGAAGGAGGAAGTTCCGGTGCGTGAAAGGCCAGCGCCGATAACTTGGAACTTAGTGCCTGGCTGAGGAACGGAGGGTTGGTTGCCCATTGTTGATGCTAAATTGGTATGTTACTCACGAGAACTAAGTGGTTAGGTAGCTGATTTATATAGGTGATTGGTCGATCTCGGATCTACTCCGGTGTGAAGCGGCCTGTAGCGCTCTCGGACCTGCAGACGATTGTTCGCTTATCGTTAGCCCTTCACCGTAGCCAGCGGGATCGTCCCCGGGAGTGATACCATCCTTTAGCAGATTTGACAGTACTGTGAGAAGGTTGGGTATCATGACGGTGCGCCTCAAAGGAGCAAAACTTTGTTCAGACTATCAGTAGGTTCTAATTGTGGTTGTTCGCGCGATGAGCCGCTGTTTAGCAACTTGTCGCCGGCTTATGACCGCAAGCGGGCCGACGATGAGCTGTCAGTGAAGCGCAAAGGGTTTACAGAGTATTGAAAGTAGATTGATGGTGACCAACAAGCCCGAGGAATCGACAGGTCAGCGAGCAGGCAATGACGTTGGTGCTGCTATGTACAACAGGGTGAAGCTCCGGTGAAGGTCGAAGTTCGTTGTCGCCAGGTGTGATCATATTTCGTGAGACTCTTGGCGTCACCTTACACTTGGTGTTGTGTAACCCTACAGATGTGGGGCGCGTGCCGCGTCTGGTCCATCCTCGATTCCATGACTATGTAGCGCCATTTGATTGACATCAACCTTGAAAGCCGCAATTTCTTAGGTTACAGTGCTTCGTCTAGATTGTTCGGTCTTCGAGTTGGGCGCACCACCGGGGATCGGATGGGACCGACAGACTGCCAAGGTTACGGGTAAGACTAAACGTAGATGTACGAAGTCAGCGTAGGCCTCACATGCAGTTCGCACAGAGAGACTTACTATGTCGAGATAATTCTCTCATGAGAACAAACCATAAGGGTAGTTTCGCAGTTCTCTACGAAGCATCTTACGAAACTGGTGTACACCGTGTGCGCAGGGAGTCTCGACTCCTTATACGGGATCTTTTGAAGTCGCCGGTCCTTTTTCTGTAGACTTTGCTGGACATAAATGCCATCCGTGCGGAGATGTGGACACAGGGGCTGAGCTAGTTGCTTCAAGTGCTGTTGGATATCGATTATGCTCAAGTCGCCAGTGCCGGCAATAATGGTCCATGATGGGTGACCACTGACCCTCCAGGTGTCGTCTGCAAGATTCTGTAATCGAGTGCAACAATACCAACTTTGTTCAAATCTCCAATCCGATATGCGTGATTTCAGTTGGTCGTACGTGAGATAATAGTGAGAACAGATACGAAAAGCAAGATTTGCACCATGGCATCTTCGTATGTGAGGGGATCGCAGCATTTCCGCTGCAGTAAACATCCGCTTCGGATGAGTTGCGTGACAGGCTGAGCAGAGGAGCTCGGCTTGTCTTTCTTCTTCGGCCAGCTTAAAGTATCGTTCGTTTTCAACGTCCCTCACAAGTCTTTCCTTCAACACCTCCCGTTCGTGTACCTCCATGTCAACATTCTGCACGTCGTGCAAGAGCAAGGCGTATCGTCGACACGCGAGCCGCAGGCAATATTTGTCGCTAGGTTGCATCCGTTCTGCAATATCGAGTACGAGTTCAGGGGGCAAGCGGTATATGTGAGAGTTACTGGCGTTCCGGATCTCGATGGACTCTGCGAGCTGATTGGCCTTCTTTCTGCGCTTCATTGTTGGGGGCCAGCAGTTGTTCTTGTACTCTGTCAAGAATCTGGATAAGGAGACGTGCATGGTGGGCGTCCTTGCTGTCATGCGATGGGCGTCTGGCGTGGGCATTGCAGATGCTGATTTCGTTGTCGCTCACGACAGCGACGACGGGAAGACACATAACTCTGGCTCTCTGACAACACTTCGGTAGAACGTCAGTCGATGGGTAATGAAAGACCCTCGAAGGGGTATTGTCTACGTGGACTCATGGTCCAGGGCCAACAGGCGTCCTCGGTAGCCAGTACTTGCGCTTTATTCACCGATTCGAAGACGATATTAGACGCTTATTACGGGAAGACAACGTCATCATTTGAGGTATCCCAGACACAGTCTATCACTCCACGGCCAGCGGCGATGTGCCTGTAATAATGAAGCGTTGGCGCTCTCAGTGCCCAGCCTCGTCATGGCTGTCGCTCGAGTTGTATGCATAAAGTGAACGCGATGACCAGATTCCCAATGCTGAATGAAACGAACGAGCTCAGAGAATGCGTGAGAAGAGTTTGGGCATCATTGAGAGCAGTTGCAGGTGTAATGTTCTAAGGCCTGCCCAAAGCACGTGCAACGGCGCTAGTGGCCCTTATGTCATCACAGATTGTGCTAACTTTTTGATAGTAGGGCAACCATCGTCACCAGCAGCTCGAGGCCCAACACCACCAATCTATTCCGACGTGCATCTGTCGCTAACGCCCTATACCCTAACCACACCAATCGCACACCCGAACAACCGCCAAAATGGTCAAGCTCGAAGAGGTCATGGATGAGGAGTTTGTGCGCGAGCAGGAAGGCCCGCATGACGACGATGAATGGGACACCGATTCTGGTACGATACTGCAAACCGCTCCCTAGATGCGCCTGGCGCATAGAAGAAAGCATAGGAATTGCATACAAATACTAAACGTACCACTGCAGAGTCAGACACATCCTCCATCCACTCCGTAACACCCGACGAGACCCTCTACGACCGCATCATCGCCCTACAAGACATGATCCCCGCCAGCACACGCCGATCCGTCTCCTCAAAAGCCAACACAATCACTTCATGGTTCAAGAGCGGTCTGAACATGGGCGGCAAGACTCTTTGGGTAGTGAGCACAAGTGCGCTGCTGCTCGGTGTGCCATGGGCATTGGCGTACAGCGAGGAGCAGATGATTGTTGAGCAGGAGAGGGCTGAGTTGCAGGCACAGAGGGCGCAAAACGAGGTATGTGAAGCCGTTCTGCGACGAGCGCTTTGCAACATCTTACTAACTTTTGACAGTTCATGGCTCCCGGTGCGCCCGTACCTGGACAGCCAACCGGCGCAAAGCCTGCTTTGTAGACGACAAAAATTTCGGTTTGGCGTTTCGACTGAAAGCGACTCAAACATTAAGAACGTTGGGCTCTTCACATCTGTTTTATTAGGATGACGGTGCATGGAACGGGCTGAACCTGTACATACAGCGGCGAGAGTTTTACGCCGTCACGATCTGTACTATATTTCTCGACTCCACGATAATGTATTGCGTCACATATTCATCTTGCAAAAACCCCAGTTGTTTCTGTACATTTCATTTTTTGTGCCCACTGGCTATGCTACTATATGTACAAATACATCGTCTCATGTCGACATGCAAACGTCTGGCGACATAGATGCCTCGCGAGATCCCGGTCTACCAAAGCTCGTATCCCATCAGATGTCAACGTTACGCCTTTTACATTCATAAATCACCCCAGCCGCGCGCATGCAGTACCGCGATCATTCCGCAGATAGTGGAATGAGACCAGGAAAGCGGGGACGCTGGGTTTGCAGACGACGCTCGCTCCAAGAAAGGTGGTAATACAGCAAAGAGAAGAGTCATGGTATTATAGTCGATACATGGGTGTGTGGAGAGGCGTTTAGAAGGGGATCGAGCCGGCTGACATTGCGACGCCCTGTTGTTCTTGCTGTTCCATGACGGCCTCGTCGGCGGCTTCTATCGCAACGGCCAGACCAAGCTTGGCGGCGTTCTACGATTTTGTCAGTATTTGATATCAGGCTGGGAATCGGCGAGACTTACGCTCTTGTGGTCGATTTCACCTGAGAAAGTCACGCGAATTGGGGGCGCAATCATCTTCTCCAACAAACACGAGACCTTGCCCTGGTTGTCGATCTGCGCCCTGTACGACGATTGACGGAAGTCGTACTTGGCACCGATTGTGACGTTGCCCTCCTTCTGTGGTCCGGCCATGGGTCCTCCGGGGCCAATTCCAGCGAATGCGAGGTTGCAGTTGATACCCGTCTCAACCTTGTCTGTGAGCCTGCGCCAGTATGAAGCCTCCAATACACCACGGTCGGGAATGATCTGACCGCACGCCATCCAGTCGACAGCCCTGTAGCGTGCCGCATACGAGACGTTCAGCTCTGGTGGGTATGCCATAGCGGGGCGGGTCCAGAAAGCATCGATACCGAGCGAGAGCTTGGGGGTGACGGCCTGGAGGTAGCTGGCCATGAGCATGCCGGTGATACCGCCATCGAGTATGGAGGGGTTGACAGCCTTCAGCGAAGCGGAGAAGTCGGCGCCGGTGTAGTCGTTCTCGAGCGACACCATGTTGCCTTGTGATGTGAGCTGGACGGCGGCCTTGGAAACGAATGCTGACGTCCAGCGCCAGTTGAAGCGACCGGAAAAGGCAAGCTCGTTGTCGAGGTTTCCTTGCATGAACACCTTGAAAAGTCAGCGTGAGAAGGCTGCCGACGATCTGAGCGACAAACCCGTGGTGATCCATAGAGAACCATGTATGAGTATGGTGGCATGACCTGCGATCCCATGGACAGCGAGTGCGCAACCTGGAATAGAGGAGCGGCGCTGAAGGCCTTGGTGAGCTCGGCGCGCAGGCCTGAGAAGCTGGAGTTGTTCAGGAAAACATCGCGCTGGACCTCTCTCGCAATGTTCTCGACTGTGCCCGGGTTGCTGAGGCCCAATGCCTCTCTCCGCTCTTGGAACGCATCGTATACATTTAGGAATTGTGCGAATGGACCGGTGTTGGCGGCGCGAGGGCGTGATAGGATGTCGGCGACAGCTTGTTCCTGCGCTGGGTTGAATTGCAGCGGAGTGGCCATGGCGAAAATATGTGCCGAGGTCAAACTAAAAACTCCCTACGGTGTGAGAGAGCTTGCACAAGGTGGGATGGAAATGGCAGTAAACGGTTGGAGGGCGATGTTGGGTCGCGTTCGCTAGCATGACGATATCGAACAGAAATTCTAAAGTCGTCACGTGACGTGACCTGGTGCCGCTAGAGCTTATCAGATCTCTAGTACCCAGGACGTGCCGCCCGTTGATACCATGATTGCTTTTTGGGATCATTGACTACCTAACCCCGCAAAGTACTGCCTGACTACCTCCAGACTTCAGACCCTTCTGCGACACTGTTACGTGGAACTTGCTGCACTTGACTGTTACGGGTTGCCGCACCTTGTTTGCTGACATCTCTCGGCAAACGCTATCATCGCCGGAACCTTGGAACTGTGACCTTGAACCGAACGCAACTCTATTTCATTGACATCCGACCGTTTTTCCTCCCCTGCATCTTGCACTTCTTCCCTTTTCCATCACACTCTTCCAACAACCTGAAGAATTTGCAATTATGGATACCCTACTGTGAGTGCCATGACCCCACTTTCCGCAGCGATGCGAAAGTACCAACGCAGGCCACCTCCTGAACAGGACATTCACTTATCATGAACAGTACCGCTGAGATATACGCAAACTCACCCCGCTTCCGGCGGCGGTCGAGTACTTTTGTCGACGCAATCCACGACTTACCCACCAAAGAGGAAATGGCTCCCGCTCAACTCTATAGCACAGAGTCAGGCCGCCTCTTCCATTCCGGTCGCATAGTCATCGCCACCTGTGGACTACCAGCTCGAGGAAAGACACACACATCCGTCGCCTTGGCCCGCTACCTCCGGTGGCTGGGTGTCAAGACGCACGTGTTTCATCTTGGCGATTACCGCCGCGCTACGCTAGGTCCGGATAACGATGTCCCCGACGACTACTTCTTTCTGAACGCATCGCCGCAATCTGTCCTACTACGCAACAAGATTCTCAAGAAGTGCCGTGAGGACATCTACCACTTTTTGGAAAACGACAAGGGCCAGGTGGCTATTTACGACGCCGTCAATGCGATCAGTCAAGGCCGTAGGTCTTTAGCGAAAGAGTTTGCCAAGAACGGGATCCAGACAGTCTTCATTGAATCACATTGTACCGACGAGCGCATCATCCAAGAGAACGTCCGTCGGGTCAAGATCTCTTCACCAGATTACCAAGGATGGAAAGACGAGGATGCGGTTCACGATTACCTAGCACGCATCAACGCGCGGATACCGCATTTCGAGACCATGGAGGAGCCAGACCTACACTGGATCAAGATGATCAACGCTGGCGAGCGAGTGGTAGTCAATAATTGCGCATTCGGATATCTCTCTCAACGCATCGTCTTTTACCTGCTCAATCTTCACATCAAGTCACGGCAGACGTACTTCGCCCGGGCCGGAACTACGCGGGAAGAGGACTCGTACAAAGCAGACGCAGACCTATCACCAGCAGGTCATGAATACGCCAAGAAGATGAGCGAAGTACTCCTGAAGTATCGCGAAGAGGAGAAGCAGAAGCTGATCGAGTCGGGAGCAACTGATGCATCGCTGAAACCGTTGACGATCTGGACTTCCACGCGCCGAAGGACTGTACAGACGTCAGAGGTTCTAGCTTCCATGGGCTACCGCGTCAGACAGCGATCGCAAATGAGCCAGATGAACCCCGGTGTATGCGAGAAGATGTCAGAAGCCAAGATTCGCCAGGAGTTCCCCGAGGAAGTCAAAAAGCACGAAGCTGACCCGTACCACCATCGATACCCGCGCGCAGAGTCATACCATGATCTTGCAGTGCGCATGGAGCCCATCATCCTAGAGCTTGAGCGCGAAGAGAACGATCTTCTCATCATCGCTCACGAGTCTGTCCTTCGTGTGCTTTATGGATATCTCATGGCATGTAACGCAGCCGACATACCCAAGCTCGAGTTCCCTCGCGATGAGATCATTGAGGTAAGCTCATCCATAATACTCGCTGCCATCCCTATCCTTATATTAACACCTTCCCAGATCATACCCTCCTCCTACAACAACGTGGCAAAACGCATTAAGATTCCCGAGCTACCCGAATCCATGGTGCCTGGAAGCCCCGAAGACATCAAGATCCCCGTCCCACCCAGTGGAGCCGTAAGTCCACTATCTGGAATGGGTACCCCTCAAGCTGGCTCCGGCACCGCGACACCCCAGCATGGTGTGCAACCCCTAAATCTGAAGGCACATATTAACCCTTCTTCTTGATCAGGTGCGGTATCGGTGTCGGTACGGCGCTACGTTTGATAACGAGCGATCGAGCCAACAGACGGACTATGACTCGGTTTGAGGAGCAGATGATTTACTGGTGTGGTGGGCAGCGCAACGAATGGCTTCCGGATAGACGATGAGAATTTCGGCATGAGTACACGGACGGACGTTTGTCTGGGCGTTAGGGTGCGGTGTGTTGAAGACCCTCCTTAGATTACACTTGGCTTCTTGACCTGTTATTCAAATATCCTTATGAACACGACCTTCTCAGTCTCCATAATCACTATGCTGTGTGTGACGACTTCAACTTGCATAGATCTTGGGTTTTAAGTTGTTCATTGCTTCATGTAATGATGGATGATGTCTTCGTTACCGTCTAACGACAATTCTCCACCCATGATCATATGTAAGCCTTGATTTCCATGCCGACTAACAGAAGAGACGTCGCAGCAACACCGTATTGCCGCCCGCCATTCCCTCGTCAATGTGTTATCCAGAGAGTCTCTGACCGTGCCTTCATCACACTCCAACGTTCCCACCATCCAAGCCATGTTCGTTACTCATTGCCTAGCGTTCGCACTCGAATATAGGGTCAGTTCAGGATGCGTCAGACATAGTCACAATGATAGCTTACTCGTTGCCCCAGCCCCTGTCGATAGCCCACTGCCATCCACCCCAACCATCATGATCACGCGGACGGACCCTGAACGGCTCGTCCTCACGCGCAGCAGGGCACGCCCAAGTGTCACCCAAACCGATGCCGTAGTACTTGAGGCCATAGCGAGTACCGTCGTTCTGACCGGGAGTAAGAGGGCGAGCGTCGGACGGCATCTCAGGCAGATCGAGGTCGAAGAGGTCGGGAAGAATACCCAGGAGGCACTCCATCTCAGCGTCAGTCTCGTGGATGTCAGCGTACGTGGGAGCATGGTGGTTCTCGAAGATGTCGAACGGCGGAGTGACAGAGGGAGCCGGAGCCGGGAAAGTGAAGGCGAAAGGGTGCGAGGGCTCTCCAAACTGCTGCATGTAGTGAGCCATGGAAGAAGGTTCTGGTGGGGACCATCGTACTATAGGCGCGGGATTCTCCAATGCTGGGACATGGCGAGGGAAGCCGCTGCGTCTCTGTTGGTTGTCAGGCTTCTGTGCATGCATTTCTGCGGGAGTGGGCCAGACTACAGTGTTCTCTGCACGGAACGGACGCTCGGGAAGCGGCGCCGGCATGAAACCTTGGAACCTCTCTGTAGGCTCTGCTTGGTAGGACTGGCGGCGCGGCATGAAGTTAGCATCGTCGGGGTAGATGTCGGCGTGCGAAGGCTCGGGACCTTGATCAGTGCGCTTGGTACGGGTCAGCGCTCGTGGACGTGGGCGGTAATCTCCTGGACTAGAAAGCTCAGGTACATGATCACGGCGAGACGGCCAGCTGGGGGTCTGGAGGTTGCTGAAGCGACGAGGCTGTCTGAATCCCGCAGGACCTGTAGGTACTTGCTGAACTGGCGACTGCATGACCGCTGGGTTGGTAGAGCTACGCTCCTCTGCGAAGATCCTACGAGGACGTTCGCCCATGAAGCCCGGAGGCGCGGGGACAACTTTGGTAGACTGGCGCTCCTCGTCCGCGCGCTCTGGATAGCGATCTTGGATGTAGCTCTTGCGACGTAGAGGTGTCTTAGCGGCATCGTCCTTGTCCTTGCCGTGAAGGTATTGGGCTAGTTCATTCGCGGTTAACGGCTTGTCCAGCGCCCGTCCTATGAGCTTACCCAATACGCCTTCAGAAAGGCCTTCAGAGCCGTGAGACTGGAGGAAGCGTGCTGAGGAGTCGACGTTAGTCGTCTCGTTCTTGATACCAGGGAGATCGAGGCCCGCACTCAGCTCTCCGACGTCTGGCGCCTGAGAGTCGGGGTTGAGTCGCTGACCAGGCAAGAGGCTACGCGGACTGTTGATAGCGTTTCCTGTAAGGTTGCTGCGAGAGATTGCACCGGGGCGTTCACGGTTCACAGTGATGTGGTGGTCTAGATAAGTCAGCTTCGATCTTCACGTTGTGCTGAGATTGACATTACCTCGTAGCATCTCCTGAAGAGGATCCAATGACATGTCCTCCTGCTTGAGTGGCTTCCGTGAGGATTCTCCGAACTTGAGCTCTTCGTAGCCTTGGTAGTTAGGTCGCGGGTCCCTAGTAGGCCGGAAAGGCGAGTCTTCTGCAATCCAGTCAGTCTTGCTAGAGGTGCTGTTGGACGAGAAGACTTACCTTCAAACACGTCTCCCATCTTGGGCTTCTGTCGCGGGCTGGTAGGTGGAGTCGGTCCTGCAAGTCTAGTGGACATGCTGGTCTCGGCTGCAGTTGGACTGAAGGTTGGTGCTTCTGGGTTGAATGAGACAGACCTTCGCGAGGCTCTCGGCTGCTTCTGCTCCATGTTGTGTCTTTGGTACAGAAGTATTATCAAAGGAGAGGTTCTTATATGAGCGTAAGATGGCAGTGCTTGGGCATAAATCCTTGAGCCCAGATACGACAGTGAATGCTGCGGTGACTTGCGATTTCGATCGTCGGTCACCTTCGTTTACGCCGAGTCGGTCGGTAAAACCAGCCTGGAGTGTCGCAGTGAATAGCGATATATACGGGAAACAACTTCTGGAATGAGCGACTGAGTTAAGACTGTCGTAGATATTGTAGCACAGGTAGGAAAGGAAATGAGTGTAGATGGTGTCGTTAGATTGCCCAGGCGAGACTGGCTTGGATTGAGCTCATGATTTCTACATCAAGCTGCGCAAGTGAAGGTGAGTATCGAGCGCCACATAGTGTGGCTTGCCAGGCTATCTGGGTAGCGCCTGATGCGAAGGTGAAGGTACACACCCTGGCCCACGGTGACGATGCATGGTGTAGGCTGTGGTCCGGGTGGCAAAACAGCTTCCGACTTCGTAGCATCTGCGAGGTGCTCTAGCATCGGCTCCCGCGCTCTTTATGAGGTTTGACGCCCCCACGAAGCCAGTCAGCGTGTGGGTGATCATAGACTAACTGACGCACGGACGGTCTCGATGACTGCTCGCGTGAGACTTCTAGGACAGCACACCAATCAGAAGCGAGCACGATGACGCCCTGACGCGCCTCATTGAATAGGCTGGAGTGCGACCTATGTTTAAAACCCTCGCACAACACGCCCCTTTGCGCCTGCTACATTCAAAGTCAGAGCTTCTAATTTTTTTCAGGTTCACAGCCCAGCTCACATTACGACCGCCTCGCTAATCTGTGGTAAACCACGGCACGCGACCCCATCTTTTTCCACCACAATAATGCACACTAGCTTCACCAGCATAAATCAACAAATACACCAGCCAGACCATCATACTCACCATGCCGATGATGTTCACCCCAGACGACACGTTGCTGTTTTCACCTAGCAAGAAACAGCCGTTTGCTCACTCACCTTATGGTCACGAGATTAGGACTGCGACTCGATGTCACCATGGACTCCACCCCTCCAATCCACAACATACTCCGTGGTGTTCCAAATGCACAGTTTCGCAGGCTAGAGCAAAGTCCGACGTTGCACTCAAGAAGCTGGTAGCCGAAGGCGGATTAAGACCTCCAGTGTACATGCGCGACCGACGGTGGAACAGGGCAAGAAACGGGTACCTGATAGCGAAGCAGCGACTCGAGAAGACACGCAAAGAGGAGCAGCTGCGCTGGGAGCGCGAGCGAGCGTGGGACGACGCTCACAGCCAGTTCAACCCCAACAACATCCAGGCAGCAGTCTTACCCAACAAATTACCTTCGTTGTGCCCCGTCTGTGACTCCTTGGTATCATCTTACCCCACAACAATGCCTGAGGCGCAACCCACAAAGTACGAGGCTTGGTGGGAGAAACCAAGCGCTCTTGCGACCTCACACATACTCGTGCGCCAGACACCACCACGTTCGCGCAACCAACATCCTGTATCCACGCAAACCCATAGAGGCAACCCCATACTGCGCAAGATAATCGCAGACAAGCGCAGAGAAATGCACTCGGACGCCAACTTGCGTCGAGCCTGGGAAGCCCGAGACAAGACCGAGGCAGCGCTACGTCGCAAGCACGGCTTGGGCGACATGCCCATCAACAAAGACTTCTGGGATTATCCGATATCCGGCTACTTCAGTCGCCTTACCCACCAAAATAACAGAGAAATGGTGCGTTCGGCGGAGCGGCGCGCGCGCGGTAATACAGCGCGCCCCAGACCACCGCGCAGCTCACTGTCTTACTCGGAGACGACGGACGACGTGGAAGTCGAACCGGGCTTTGAAGAGACGCTGAAAGAGAAGGAAGAGCGCGAGGAATGGGAGCGACAAGTTCGGAAAGTAGCAGGGGAGGTTGGATACCTCTATTTCGTTGGCGGTGGGAACAACCTTTTGGAAACGTGGGAAGAAGATTACGAGCGGAGTGCCGACTATCTCATTACGAGGAATGAGACTCCTGTAGCGGAGACGGCGAATGATGGCGATGTTCAGGATGGGAGTGAGACGACGGATGGTGATGCCAACGAGGAGGACTGGGGTGATGAAATGGATGTCGATGACGCTTAGGAGGGTGATGATGCATTCTGTCATATCAACAGCGCTTAGATTGCTAGTTGGGTCGTTGTATAAGAGTTACACAGTGTACGGTTATATTAATGAATGAGGGGTTCAGACACCTCCATTGACATACGGTTGACGTGCTGTATGAATGGGCGCCGTATGACGGATGTCATCGCTCGTGGGGTCGCTACGGATCAACCTTGTGGCGCTTCTGGAGTGCGTCGTGTATAGATGACATCGAGGCGTGGGTTGAGCGGACGATGCACAGAGCGTTGACGACGCCGACGCGCGTGTGAAAAAGCTTGTCTAGCGCTAACCAATCTAGGTGCCTCTTGTTGTCGATCGGGAACAGGAGCGAAATCACATTATGTTCTCCGAAAATTTCACTTTTGTTACTACATCATAGCGCTGTCATGCGAACTGTATGTCTTCATGGCTGAGCTAAAGGTCAAGCAGTACAAGGCCTCTCATCTGCTGCTCGTACATCACCACCATCACCAGGCAGCTCATACATCACATCACTACCCTCGACTTCCACAACGCCTACTTCACCCGAGCCCTTCAATTCCCAAGCCTTCTCCACAGTCTGGAGCTCAGATGCTTCTCTGTCCATGGCCTCGTGCTTCCCTGAACCAGCATCTAATTCGAATCTCTCTTTTTCCATAGCCTCAATTCCCAGCTTGTGCTCGCCATGTAACTCGGCTTTTTTGTAGTCATTCTGACTGTCCCCGTTCGAGGTCTTGCGTCGGAAAGGCCCTAGTCGCTTCTTCCAGACAATGATTAGGCACAATGCTGCAAACCCCGCGATGCCTGCGCCTACTCCAATCCCAGCATATGCAGCTGACGAAAGGCCTTTTGGGCTATTTGTAGCTGAAGGTAGAGGCGGATCCGGTGTTTGGGTGGGTTCCATCTGTGAAGGTATAGGTACGATGTTCGCGGCGCTATTACCATGAGACGCTTGACTTAGATTGAAGATCAAGCGTTCGTAGTCCACAGATATGTAGGTTTCTTGCAGGAAAGTCCGACCGAGCATATACTCTGCAGGGCTCGAAGCCCTTTTCAATGGGAAGTAATGAGTAGAATCGTCCACGAAAGGGGAGGTAAGCCGGAGATCGAATGCCGAGTAGGGAAGCGTGTAGTTTACTAGCTCTTGCAAAGGTGGGTTCCCTATTGAGAGATTTACTTCAGGATTTTCGCTTAACAGTCGTGCATGCGTCGTGTCGTTGACGAGGTACAGTTCCAAAGAATCGTCCCAGATCAGTCCGAAAGCCGCTTCGAACAGTTGACAGCCTTCTTGTGGTAGCCAGATATGTGGGACATCGGAGTCGACTGTAAAAACAGGTGGGCGAGAAAAGTTTCCTTTCTCCGGCTCCCACGAGGCGCCCCCAGTTATACTAATTGCATCCAAAGGTATACCGAATGACCAATTTTGATCGATAGAGAAACCCAATGTTGTAGTCGTTGTAGGATCGAATCGTGCAGCATCGTATCCGCCGAGGACCAGACTAGCTGAGCTGTTGCCTACCAGAAAAGTTTAGTTATAAGCCATGTGTCCGCCCGGCCTAGTTCTACTTACGATTGACAGAGCCCGCTGTGTAGCCAATACTCAAACTAGGAATAACACCTGACTCCCAGAGCGACGAGAGGAGTGAAGGATGTTGTGCTCCTGGGGGCCCGACCGATCCTGGAAAGAGACCTAGAGTCCCAAGTCGGAACCGCTTCCGATCAGTTTCAGCAACGTACTGTGAGGAGATTTTGCGGCCTTGCGCAGACTTTCCGAGGTATGTATCGTCGACGCCAAATTTAGGCTCGTGTATGGCGTTGTCTTCGCTAACATCGGAGTAGCTGTTGATGTATTCCCCGATTGCCAACGGTAAGAGATGGCTAGGTGTAAATTCCCAGGTCTTTGACGAACCGCCGTAAAAGAAAGCGCATGTATCGTTGCACCATTCGCTCTCATTTGGCACAATGACAACCGTAGAGGTAATGCCAGCGATGCACCGAAAAGACTGAACTGGATTACCCACAGAGATGTCAAAGGTTGACCACGGACCGTCTGCGCCGTACCTGTTCGATGATTAGTCAAACCTTAAGCTCATGATCATGAAAAATTACCAATGTCCGCTAGGCGCAACGACCAGCGGCGCCACAGAGGCTGCCAGACCCAAAGAGCACCCTAACCAGACTGCTACAAGCCACATACAAGTGGGAACGGGAAGGCGAAATGCCATGACGATTTGGTTCTTGTGCCCGCTTTTTTGTACCAGCACATTCGTCAAAGCAATGATGTTGTGGTTCGGGAGTAGAAGAAGTGGACCTGAAACTGGCTGAAGCCTCGGGAAGTAAGCAGTGGCGGGAAAGCTAACCATGCGGGGGCCATAACGACTGCTTCTCCCCGATGTAGAAGAACGACATGGGTTTTAGATTGGCAGACGGGATGTCAATCACTGTTGGGGGCCAGTATGCGCCAAGTAGTCCTTACCGGTCTGGCCCTGTTAAGCTAACCTGCAACAGAACGAACGCCGCGCGGGCATGCAATGTAAGCTGTATATCGAACTTCGGAACAGGCACCTCGGATGTAACCTATTTGGGAACTTGAATATGCTTCGCTCTCGCTGAGAAGGGTCATGTATTCATTCTCTCTAGATCAAAGGGTATACAGACTCACAAAACAACCCCCCTCCCCCACACCCCTTACAACTCCCTCCTCTTCCTCGCCTCATCATCCCCCTCCTTAACCTCACCCGTCCTCTTCAAATCCACAAACTCGCCCTCCTCCTCCAGCGCATCAACATCACCCTTCTCCTTCGCCTTCTGCAATTCCTCCGCCTCTTTCCTATCAGCCTCCTTCTGCATCTGCTCATCTACCTCTTGTCTCTCTACAATCTCCGCTTCTTCACCGACCTCGCCCGTCAACGGGCCCTCGCTCTCTTCGTACCAATCCGTCGACTCTGTCCACTCGATGATCTTCTCCTTGGCTGTCTCGCTGAGGGTGTAGTAGCCGGGGTTGTTGCGAGGCTCGAACATGGAGGTGTGGGCCCAGGTTTCGGCTGTAGCTTTGTCGTTCACGGCGGGCATGAAGAAGTCCTTCAGGGGGCCTTTGGGTAGGTTGCAAAAGGTGCGGTCTTTGCCTGCCACTTTGCCTGTCCAACCGTGTTCCTTGTTCTCGCTGTTAACGGCATGGCCGAGAGTGGTGTGCATGTTGCAGAAGCCGAGACCGTGGCTCGTGGTGAGCTTTGCAATCTTCTCGAGTCGCTTCCGCATCTCTTCGGGGCGGGCTAGGACTCCGACAAATTCCAGATGTGATGTGGCCCATGAAACACCCTGAGTGATCTGGTCTTTCTTCATGTAGGCTGCTGCGCCTCCTGCTGCTATCGCGCCCGCTGCACCGGCGAACATGGCTACCTTTCCGTAGCGTTGCCACAGCGGTGCCGATGCTGCGTCGCCAGTAGACGAGGGCGCTGGCAGCATCTTGCTCGTATCGACGGCACCAGCCGTGGTGTCCTTGCCACCCCATCCGAACGCGCCTGCGAGGTTGTTATACGCCGAGTATGCCGAGCTCGCGGTGTTCCAATGCTTCTCCGCGCCATGTGCCACTACGCCAGGCGCTATACCGAGGTACGGTGTATCGAAAGCGAGGATGCCCTGTATGTACGGGAACATTAGCGCCGAATGGTCGGCAAGCGAGCCTGTAGAGCCGGTCTGCGAATTAGACTGCGAGTGGATCGGCTGTTCAGCGAGGATGGAGAGGAGCGTCTCAGCCGCAACGATGCCACCCATAGAATGGCCGACGAGTATCGTGCGCACAGAGGGGTCGACGGTGGGCGACGGCGTCGAATTGGCGACCTCGAGGTCTATGACTTTGTTCTGCAGCCATTCTTTGAAGCGGCCGACGCACTCGTGCAGGTCGCCTCGCGTCTCGAACTGGGGGTACGTGATGGTCAGGACGGTGACTTTGGGCAGCGCATGCTGGAGGAGCGCCTTCACGTGGCTCGGAAAGGTTCTGAATGTTTCATCTCCGCCCTATAGCACGTGTTAGTATCGTTCTCGCATTTGTTCGCATCGCATCGGGCGTCGCATTGCACATGGCTGGGCCTGAGACATGCAGACACGACCCCGGCGATGACGTAATGGGGGTATCGCGTGAGTGACACGTACCTTGAAGCCGTGGATGAAACACAGCAATAACGTCTTCCTCATGGTCCTCGACTCTACTCCTGTGCTCCTGCATGGTGGTGGGGCTGGGTTAGTGGAGGGCTGACGATAAGTCGACTGGGCGGGAGGGCGATTACGTCTGGGGTGCAGCTACGCTCGCTTACCTGGCAGGGGGCTGTTGGCCGGAAGGGTCGATTGCCGTGGAGCAGCACGGCGGCATGAGAGTAATTTGAAAAGGTTGGATAAATGCGCAGGCAGGGAGAATCACATGCAGGAAATTGAGAGAGTGAGGTATTCATGTGCTTTGATTCATCGTTTCACGCAAGCTTTCGCTGCTGTGAGTGCCCTTAATTGTGTCCACCTATGCTACATGACTACTCCGTGACACATGGTCTCTCTGACACATCCGGCTGCTCGTGCCTCTTCTCTGCCAATCCATCAATGCGGGTATAGTACAAACAATGCAAACTCCAACGCCATATCGTGAGCCTCTTCGGCAATGCATAAACACAAGAAAGGTGTAGATAACAGTGCTACCAACTGCTAGTGAGCAGTGTGATGGCTACTGCAGATAGACTTGCTATCGACAGGTCCGAAGCCTTGAGCTGCCATGATGCGCCTACCGCAACGACATCGAACGGTGAGCCACCGCCCGAGTCAGTGTTTGACAGCTGAGCATTCGGTGCTTGTGTGGGATCCGCCGCCTGCGCAGTGTCTGTGGGTGGTGCGACAGAAGTCGTGAACGTTCCAGTGGCATTCGGATCCAGCGTCAAGCCCCCTGTTGACGAGCTCGTAGTTGTCGGTTGCGCTGAGCTGGTCGGCTCGTCATCCCCATCGTCCGAATCCGCAGT